ACAAGACCATAATGGATGAGCTGCTCACCGCTCTACTCGCCTCTTTATACGTGGACATTTGCTCTGCCAGGTCTATGTCATGTGCATGCACAGGCATTATCAGTGTTCTCATCCGGGGAAGGATCGGGCTGGCCCTTCATTTTTAGTCATGAGGTGTCCTTTTGGGGCAAGGCCGATCTTGTGCAAGGGCGGGTGGGCGGGCGAACTAGCTGGGCGTCAGGGAGCAAGCTCTGCTCGCTGGCACTGAAAGGACACCTTGCGTATCTGCGCTCGGGCCCTCTGTCGTCGCCGCTCAGCAATGCCACCTTCTGCATCTGAAAAAACAGCCTTTGCAAATTGACGCTAATTATCACTATTCAGATAATCTCATCTATATTAGCAAGTGTTAGCAGAGATAACATCTATATTAGAGCTACTATTCAGACACACTTCTTTAGTAGTGCAACTAAGCACTAATAGTATACTTGGTACTAGTTATAACTACTCTTCACTATCACTTTTGCTATAGTGCCATGTAGTGCCAACATAATACTACTATAGCACTACTGCAAATTTGGTCCTTTAATTTTCACTATTTTGCACTTCTGTAGTACTATTTAGTGCTATTTTAGCACTACTCATTTAGGGGAGACTCAAATAAGATGACAATCCTTTATTTATAGCTCATAGTTCTCAACTCAAGCATTACACACCTCTATAGCTGCAAAATCACCATGATAGCTGACTTATATTTGAGGGCACAACTCAACATAGAACTTGTTATCATGTATAGGATTAGGCTGCCAGCACAGCATTCATATCATGAAGCATACTCTATAGCACACTCTATATTATATACATAGTCCCAGACATTACACATATGCAAGCCCCAGCAGGTGAATCTCAAAGGGAGGTGTCACCACTTTGTCTAAGTCTAGCAGAAATGAATATATATAGTACCTGTGAAGAGGGTTTGCATAAGCTCTAGTGGTGCAGTGGCATAGAGCACCTTGGAACAAGTGTCATATAAAGGTGAGGTTGAGGGTTCAAGATTAGCTGAGGACATTTTTTTCATATATTTTTCCAGCACTTCAAATGCATCTGAGGCTTATGAACAGATGGTTTTGAGGTCATAGAAAGCATCTCTACACCAGTCAGAAATCATAGACCCACTCTATCCACTACTATCAACGTCTACTGTAGCACTATTTCTATCTACTATAGTGCTACTTTGCACGAATTTGCATTGATAGTGCAAAATAGTGCAATTATTTTTGGGGACCTCTCGATTTTGCACTATTTGTCACCATCCAACTACTGTGTCTATTAAGAGCTAATTTGTACTGAATAGGTGTAATTTGTAAAGGTGGTTTTTACAGATGTGGTGGACCCGCTGTTCACCTTCTGGTGTATAAGAGGGGTTCTAGGTCTTAGGGCTCAGCGGGGCAGTGGGCAGCCGCCTCTCTGTTGGTTGACAGTGAATTACTCTTCCTAGGAGGGGGCCATGGCCACCGTTCTCCTGGTGGCCATTTGGCTCTCTATCGTAGTCTACATAAGATACATCTGGCCTCAAAGCCTCCCGGCCTCAGGTGTCGGTGGGGGGCGCTCTGCCCCCTGCGGAGTGACCGTCACGGCCACTACAGACACAACCTCTGCCACTTGTCTTGGACCTCGCTCTAGACAATGTCAATCTCATCTCTCGAGGTCCTTCCTCCGCCTGATGGCCAGATAGCAGACGACATCTTAGCAGGGGGTATTAGCCTCTGCCCCTTGGACCTCCGCTTGGGGAGAGGCGCGCCGCAGCCACCAATGCTGTGCATGGTGGTGGTTGCAGTCCAAGGTTGGACCTTTCCAATACGAGTTGTCCATGGTTGAGGTGAGCGTCTGCCTTGGTACACATGACGCCCAGGTCACGTGGCACGAGAAAACCGTGACAACACCCATGCATTGATTGCAGTTTGAAATATAAGGGATTGTGCTACAGCTCAGCCAATGATGCTGGTGATCAGCAAATGCCAAGTTATTCCATTCTTCTACAGGATATAATACTGGTTCAACACCAACTGAGATCTAGATGCCAATAACGAGGGAATTATGATAATGTGCAATGAGCTGTACATGTGAAGAATTGGTGCAATGCCAGATAGAAGATGATGCGAGACCATGATGCGGGAAGATGCAAGATGCAATGCGTGCAACGTGAAGGTAGAAAGCAATGTCCGACGGTGCGGTGAATCTGATCAACTTGCTATAGTAGTACCATCTATACCGCACGGGTTTCGTACTTCTCGTACTCATGGTGCTCGTCTAGAGGTGTAGGGACTGACGACGAGATATTTCGACTATGTCTCTGGCCGGAGATAGGTGAGGAAGCTGTGGAAGTCCGATGCGTGTAGGCAGGAGAATAGAGTCCATCTGTCGAGATCGATGGCGGTCGTGAGTGTTGGAATGACCACCTTCGAGGAAGAGTCTCACCAAGCGTCGTGCTCGAGGTCGCACTCGGGAGCGACTTTGGCGAGAACGACGCTGTACTTGGTGGTGTAGGGTTGTTGGGTCGCCCTGGGAAGTCCTGGGATTTGGTGGTGTCCACCGTGGCGCTATCCACCGTTGCGCTATCCTTCTCTTCTATAACATCTTTGGAAGTCCCTGCATAATTGCCCTGCTCTACCATCGAAGCATCGCTCGATTGGCTGGCCAATGTTGCATGGTCCACACCGCGACCACGGTGACCACAGGTGAGGGCGAAGATGAAGAGACGCCATAGACCCATGTTGACAAGAAGGTTGAGGAACATGACGACGACCGCCACCGAGAAGATGACAGCAACGATGGCTCCGATTGCAACGCGCGGGATGGGTTTGACTGCGAGGGATTCGGCGAAGGCGATCATCAACCCGCTACTCACCAAGCGCGTAATGCAAAGGTAACCAGCGAGGATGTCAGCGCCACGTGTGCGATGAGGTTTGAGGGCGATGATCGAAAGGAGGAAAAGGAACTCGAGAACGACGAAGATGATAATCTGCGCGGTGCCGTGCCCGTGAGCGAACGCCGTGACGAGGGCCTTGATGACCATGGCAACCAAAAGGGGTATAACATAATACACCCTGTTGGCACGATACAGTGAGGTCAAAGGGGCGACCCAAGCAGGTGCCTCTCGACCAGACCATTTCCCTTTCGAGATCGATGCGCGAGTGGCAAAGAAAGCAGCTGGAAGCACGAACGCCATGAGCGCTATGAGGACGAGGACGGACAACAAGACGGAAAGCCAGGAGTCCTGCAGCGTCCACTGATAGAAGGCGAAGACGAGGATCGGTAACGACAACACCATAGCTCCACGCAGGCCCCAAGCACGGGCGAAGGAGGGGTACCGTGAGCGGAACCCGTGGATTTCTGGATATCTCCGAGCTAATTCTGTACGACAGAGTAGGACTGTCGCTCCGTATACGAGGGCGAGCGACGCGAGAAGGATAGCGGCGAGTATGAGGCCGATGAGGAAGATTGTCATGAAGGCGTTTGCTGTAGCAATGCCAATCGAGTTCGTATAGATCGGGATGCCGGCCTGGAGGACATTGGAGGAATCCTGAGTGACGGTGGCAACGTCGCCGCCGACCAGAACGTGAGGATCCTTGGTGGTGAGCGCGTATGAAAAGAATGACTTGACGAAATCCAATGCAACACTAGGCGCCTCCACTAGCCTCGACAGGCTTTCGGGGAGGACGAGAGTCTGAGAGTTGTAGGGGCTCAGCTTGCGGTTCACGAAATCGATGGCCCCATTGCCGCCGGAGTTGGATGGGTCGCCTCCAGTAAGATGGCGCATGCGATTGATCGACTGCTGGATGGGAGACGTCGTCGACGCCGAAAACAGGCCCATCGCCCATGCGAAGTTGAGGGTGTAGGAGCGGTAGAGAGAAGGGAAGTTGAGACTGAGCAAGCCTGAGAGAGCGATGGTCTGGAAGAGGGAGATGGTATCGACGAAGCGGATGGGGGCGAGCGCACAGTCGCCCTGAGTGACAGACTGCCATATGGCGACGGCGAGCGCAAGAATGGCGATACTTGCTGTGGCCCACTCCACGCCGTACTGATGCGTAGACCAGCCATTGGACAAGGTGGTTTGAACGCAGGCCTTCACGTCTCCGGTCTTGACGTCGGTGAGAGTGAGTTGAGCAAATGCCTCGAGATCGGGGATGGAATAAGCTATAGTTGGGAAGCGAGACTGGATATTGAGGCTCTGGGGAAGGGAGATGGAGTCGGACCCGTTGAATGTGTAGAGAGGGAGAGGACAGAGGGCGCCTCCGAAGAGGGAGCAAATGTCGATGGAGACATTAATTGGCTGCATGCCATAGACGTTAAGGAAGAGGTTGGCATTGACATTTGTGTTGGGATCCTGACGGGGACTTATGAGGAAATGGAAGAGGTCGAGGGAGAATTATTAATACGTACGACACTAGCTGCGGATATGTTGAAGACGATCGACTGATTCTTTGCATAATAAGCGATGTCAAATTGCTCTACGAGGAGACTCTCCGGAGGAGCACAATACGTGACAGAGGAGGTGACTTGTGGGGGAACATGAGTGAATGTAGTAGGGAAAAGAGGAGTGAACGACTCACACAGAGATTGGTCGCGTGAGGCGACCAGGACGGGGGCGAGAAGAAGAGAGACGAGGAGTCGCAGCCGGGCGACAGGGAAGAACATGAAGGGCAAGAGGCGACCAGCGTGAGCTGGCGCGACGAGCTATAAGTGCACTGTGTCGTATGTGAGCGGGGCATTGTGCACGAGGACAAGGGCTGTATTGTGAGACTTACCCGGCGGAGTCTATTGTGCGACGTTGTTGTTGTTCCCTGGGCGGCTACGAGGATAGGCGAGGGCGAGGACAAAGGGAAGAAGAGTCTGAAGAGGGCGACAGACTGGATTTTTGAGGGGGAGAAGAGGGATTGGAGCAGAGCTCGCCACGGACGACGTCGTGGACAACGAGCAAGTCGAGATCCCGCACCTGGTGGAGACCTGTGTCCGATGCCTGCAACGAGCCGATCCGCATCCGGCGCCGTTCGGCATCTCCTTCCGCACCTGGCCCTCGGTCTCCGCTCCGATACCAGCCACCCCCCCCCAACGCAGGCTCCTTCCCACCGCACGCTCCCAGGCTGTATAGAACGAGCGAGTGTAGCCTGGATTGCGAGACTATATCCAGTCCGAATCACTAGCACCATCGTTCACCTGCTCCTTTCTTGACACCTTTCAGGTACGCCCGTTTCCCCCGGATCTGCCGTCTTTTCATCTGGAAACACGGTTCTGACGTTCCTCATAAGTTCCCTCAGGCTCCTTCTGCGTCGCAAAGTATCCTCCGTGTGAATGAACGGACGCGAAAACTCCATTGCCGCGACTCCGAGGCCATATGTCATATGACGATAGCTGCAGTTGTCTCTCTTCGGTAACCTCCTCTTGTGTATGTAGATTCTGACAGACACCGCAGGCCCAGCACGAGAGCACCAATTCGATCGATATCACTCCGAAGTTATGCAACATCATGAGGACGTGAATGATGTCCAAAGACGTATACGCATGGTCGTCCTCTAGGTTGAGCGCTGAGCGCTGAGCATCAGCCCAACTTGGTAGCTTCTCGTAGATCCATGTCAGTATGCCAGCTGGGTACCAGCAAGAGAGTAGCGGTGGTCTGGCTGCGTAGCCTGTTCATGTGAGTATTCGCTAACCTGCTACCTGGAAGGTTTTGATGCTGGCGTCCTCTATCCTCCCACTCGGTATATGGAGTGACCGCGTGCATAACATAGAGACAGGGCACAGTCGTTCTGCGCCAATCACGGTGTCCATAAGCGATAGCCACAACCACAAGAACACCTGAAGAAATCAAGTACGCGCCTTATGTAGTTGGAGTGCTAGCCCTCATGTGAGGTGTGTGCTTACAACGTCATAAACGAGCTATCGAGGACGTGCAACAAATGTCTACGTTCGACTCTACCACGTGCCAGAGGTCATGCATGCCATGACTGACATGATGTCCCCAACCTTCTTTTTTAACATGAGAGTTTCAGACGCACTGAGTAAGGAAGGTGGTCGAGCGTAACATATTTATTATGAGCGAAGTTCACCATCCGCTTGTAAAATATCTCAACGAGGCGAGTAGGACAACACTCGGGCGACCCTACGAATCTGCTCGTACCGCAACACACAGGCGGGCAGCAAAGCCTTTCTTTGATGTATCAGAGAATCCTAGCCCCCAAAGGCTGAAGGCGACGATACGGAGACTAGGGTGATCCAGAGAATCGTATGCCAACAGGTATCCTGCGCACCTTCAAGACGTGCCCGGGCACTATGTATTCACTGATTCATTGGCATACCAGATGAGTGGCGGTGGAGCTTGTAGGGCAAGTGGGCTCACCACCATGTACCAGTGGTCACGGAGTGGCTCTGCCGAGCTGGCTACGCTGGTGCACATGGTGGATCCGCAGCGTACCAAACCCTCCGACATCGATGCAACGGGTACGCCTCGGACTAGGGCCAATTGAGATCCGTACCCTATCTTCGGCAGGCCACCAGTCGTTGGACGCCTTTGAGCGTCACTCCATGATCCCAGCCTGCTGCCTGCAGTTCGCAGACTAGCTCAAGCTGTTGACGCAGTAGTTCGATCTTTGTGTGTCAAGTGCAGAGGGCCGGGGAGGAGTTTCCGCTGCGATCTATGTGTTGGTTGAGTATGTACACACGTATAGGAAGGCAGATGGTGGCGGTCGGGATCAGTGACGTATTAGGAGCTAGTGTACAGGCTCGCTGGAGCCCACTTCACAAGGGAAGTGCTGGCGTACATTGGCGGGTTGGGGACGCAATTGACTCACAACTAGTTATCCCAGAAATAATGACCCCGAACACTTTGAGTTCGTCATGCTTCTTGATCGGCAGTGTAACCCAAACGTAATTCACGGACCTGCTTGCCAACCTGCGGGACATCAATGGGAACGACAGACTCGCCAGATGTCATCAACGCATGCAGAGATATAGAATAGAAGGAACAAGGTCGCTGACAGCGTAATTGGCCTACTTCATGGTCCCGACAAACGGTCGTTCAAAATACGCCGAATTGCCCGTCATCGCATTTGCAGCTAAATCTCAATGACGGGTGCCGTCAGCACATTCAAACGATGCACCATCGGATGCCGGAGGCAGACACGAGCCCTCCATGAACGATGGATGATCTCAGCATGCCAAGAACCGGGACATGACCGTATAACCGTGCAGTGGCAACATTGGCGGCATCCCTTCGTCCGATAACAGATATAGGCGATGAGCTTACGGCGACGATAGTGTATTAGCACAGCACGCTGAAACCTAACGCGGAGCCAGATGTAGCGAGGAGTATCGTACGTGGGTATATAGGACACCATTTATAGTTCCTAGAAGGCGAGGCATTAGGGAAGACGTCGATTGATTGCACGGGCATTACTTACAGTCATCGTCAAGTTTCCAGATAGAAGCCCTGCACGCGATTGAGGTCAGTGATAAGACGCCGTGATAGCAGCAAACTCACTATTCTCCAGCACGCAACCGTCGGGGATATCGATACGCTGACCCTCGTTTGCAACAACTAAGTTGCCATCGATCAGTCTCCTGGTGATCGTGCAGCGACAAAAATCCACTTGCCGATGACAGTGCCTCTGAGAGTCACATTTCGGCCGAAATACACGTCGCCAGTGACCGTCAGATGGTCGAGCTCAATGATCTTGGGTATCTTCTTGAACCGTTTCTGGAACTGCGCGATCTTCTTGAAGTGGTCGCCTAGCTTGATAACAGGCGTCGTGCCAAACATCCTGTTTTCGTTGATCACAAGTTCGCCGTGTTCAAGCGAGTAGACGTCGCTCTTGATGAGCAGAAGGTCGGAACAGCTCTTCACAGGCAAGAACCGGCTCCTGGGCACGTTGATGCCGCGTGCGTTCTTGAAGTGGCGGATGGCCGCACCCGCGGCGGTCTCCAGTTGAATGACCGAGACGCCATCCTCTGTAACTTTGGGGTTGACGATGATCTCGAGTTCCATGCCTTCGTTCTCCATGATGCGCTTGAGCGCTTCACGCCATCGTATGTCAGCAATTATTTGCTCATTGGGCCTCCACCCCATATGCTTACCCTTCAGGTTGATCCACAGGTTGTTCGTGTTGAAGATCTTGAACTTACGAACAGACTTGAAATCCTCGACGTGTTCCGACGGTACTTGGGCGATTTCGAGCAATTGAACGTTCCCCTCATAATCAATGAGGGTACCGCCCTGGACGCAGCTTGCATCAGCCGTCATACCACAGTGGGTGCAACGCTCCCGTACCTTGACGTCAGCCTTAGTCTTGTCTGTCACCTCCATAATGAACTCTGCATTCGTGTCGATCATGTGTTGCAAGATCTTCTGATCGACGACAGCACCCAAGTTGTCCGAGTTGGATACAAAGAGGTATTCCTTACCCTCAGCCAGAAGCTGGTCGAGCACGCCCGAGTGCAATAGGGCGTTGTACAAGTCACCATGACCGGGTGGGTACCACTTGGACTTGTCGTCCGTCGCAGAGCGGGGAAGAGGCAGAAGTGTTTCTTTGTCGATGCGAGGGTAACGCGATTGGTTAAATGTTGTAATGCGAAGCTGCTGGTTTGCGTACTTCTTGATGATGCGGAGAGTGTCGTCATGAGTATTGAAGGATGTCATGAGTATCAGGGGCACGTCGACGCGATAGGTGGTGTTGAGGTGCTCTATCTGTCGCACGGTGAGATCGAGGAAAGTCATATCGTCCTTGACCTCGAGGGCACTCTTTGCGCCGGTCATTCCTAGTGAAGAACAGAAGACATCAGCGTCAGAAGGTATTGCAGATTCCGGCTCCCAGGAACGCATACCCATGGATGTCCCAAGACCCCCGTTGACCTTAAGGACGGCGAGCCTGTCCAGACTCTTGGGGTCCGTGGTAGCGGGCAAGTCATCGTATGAGACGATCTGGTCTGCAGCGGGAGATTTGATGCGTTCCCAATCGCTGGCACGCAACATTGTCGTCGACACGAGTTCGGAGACCATGGCGAACCGGTAGACTCACATCTCCTTGTTCTGAGCCTTTTCGGCGAGGTAGCGAGTGAAGAGGTAGAAGAAGGACTGCATCTCCGTGTCGAACGCCTACATGTTTTGAAGTCAACGTGGGTCGCTTATAGCGTGGAGAGATGTGCCATCAGGTGCGTACCTTTCTCGTCGCGGGGTCTGAGACGGTGTTCACGAGTCTGTTGAGCTCATTTCGCATGTTCTTGGTCGCGACACCAGTAGTCGCGCTCTTGAAGTGCTATACGATTCGAGAGGCGGATGAGCGAAAGATGTCAAGCAGCCTATACATATGCTGGGGGTAACGACAGCCGCCATGGCACGGGTGGGATGTATGGGTGATACTGGGCACTAGTGCGAGGCGATCCCAGATGGTAGACATACCATGGCAGAGACGCCCCTGGTGCGAGGCGCCTTCTCGGAAAGGTGAGCGGCGGCGAGAGACATGTCGTGACAAGGGCGGAAGCGAAAGCGAGGTACTCAAAAGACGGCAGGGGCGACCCTGAGGACAAGAGGGGCGTCGTCGACGAGCTATGTCGAAAAAGGGATTGGCCTTAAGTAGCGGTCGATGTAAGAAGCCATGTGCACGGGCGATCATCGTCGACGCGAGTGCGCAGTCTAGATTTCCTTGTCGCCCAACGCCCAAGCCTATCGATTCCAATGCGCGCCCGCGTCGCAACTTGAAGCGTGTATGGCATCTCGAGAATATGTGCAATGGGGTTCACGACACCGTACATTGTCCGTCGCGTGGCAGATCATGACCCGCGCGGATAGAGGATAGGATGACAGGTCAAGGAAGTAGAAACAGGAAGACTGTGCGAGGTACTACAGCTGGGCGAATGAGACAGGCACGTTACGTCTTCCTGCTCCCTCTCGGCTTCTATTCCCCGGGCTGTTCCTGCCAGGCGTCCTATGTATCAATGCGCTTCAGGAGGGGTACTGAGGGATTGGTGACAGGGCGTTAGGGGTTCCCAGGATGAGCGCACAACACCGTAGCAATTTGTGAACCTCCACAATGTCGGCGATGAAGGCGAACGGGGTGAGGAACTGCGAAGATGGAGGATTGGATCAGGAAGGTGGCTATGATCCACAGCGCTCTTCCATGCCGGAGCTCAAGGACGGCGACAAACAGTGAGTTAGACCGGCGGTGTATATGGCGTGCAAGCTTTAGTCAGTGAGATAGCCAGTGAGACAAAATGGAGGAGGGGTGGACTGTGGTTTGCGCGTTGTCCATCAATGTCGGTCCAGACTGAGAGTCTTAGGCACTCACGGCCAAGTCTCAAGCGCTCGTGGGATGGGCGTCTCCCCATCGCGCATGGCGGTGGCTGCAGATTCAGTCGGAGTTGCTCCTCCATCAAACTTTGTTTTGTAAACTGTAATCCGTCGTCCACCGTACATCGCCGCTGCAGGACGCCGTCCCCTCAAGCCTCAAGACCATCCGCCATGGGTCAGTGATGTCCCTCTGTTCGTATGTCTGCAGAACTGACCTTGCATATCGTGCGGCCTCTGCATCACGTCTACCTTTACATTCAATCCGCCCCGCGTCCGTAATCTGCAGGTATCTCCCGTTCCTCGCGGCACAAGCGTTCGCATACTGGTGCCCAACGCCCCCACTACCGCAAGAAGAGAAAATTCGAGCTCGGTCGCCAGGCTGCCAGCACCAAGCTTGGCCCCAAGCGCATCCACACTGTCCGTGTTCGTGGCGGTAACCTCAAGTACCGCGCTCTCCGTCTCGACTCTGGTAACTTCGCATGGGGCAGCGAGTCTGTCACAAGGAAGACCCGTATCATCGGTGTCGTAAGTCTTGTCTCGATTAAGCACTCCTCATTGGTTCTCCCGGCATGACATGCAATTTGCACGCACTGCCCAATCCCGTCCCTGCCCTCTTTTTCCTACGGGAACATGCTAACAAAAATTGTCTCGACGCTTTCTCGCGCAGGTTTACAACGCGTCCAACAATGAGCTTGTCCGGACGAACACTCTCGTCAAGAATGCCATCATCCAGGTCGATGCGGCCCCTTTCCGCCAGTGGTACGAGGCCCACGTACGTGACAGACCGTGTCTGCTATGTGATGCGTTTTTCTGTCGAGCTGACGCTACGATTCCCACAGTACGCCCAACCCGTGACGAAGAAGGGTGGAAAGAAGGATGCTGCTGCTGAGGGCGAGGAGGAGAAAAAGCAGTCCAAGCATGTCGTGCGCAAGCTGGAGGAGCGGAAGAAGGGTACGTCGCTGCTGCTGCATGTGTGGGTGATTGGACCTGATGATGTGCGGATGGTTGTGACATGAAGATGCCAAGATCGACCCTCTGCTTGAGACGCAATTTGCGGCGGGGCGGTTGTACGCTGCGATCAGCAGCCGACCTGGCCAGTCGGGTCGGGCGGACGGGTACATTCTGGAAGGCCGGGAACTCGAGGTGCGTACGGTGGCGCGTGGGGGAGAGAAGACAAGTTGCATACTAACATGTATCACATGGGATGGCAGTTCTACCTGAGGAAGATCAGGACGGGCAAGCAGAAGCACGCACATGCGGCATAAGGAGTCGCGTGATGTGTGGGGACTGCAGTGCGAGAGGCCGTCTGGGCGGATGTGGGACGGAGACGTGCGAGCTGGCTGGGTGTATGCATGAAAACCGCCGATATGATGACGACGCCGACGCATGTTGCTGCTGGTACTATTGCACCTACTGTATGATGAGTATGTTCCGTCCATGCGATGCTACCGATCGGAAAGTGTGACTGCTAGGATGTACATTGTAAGATGCGACCACAGTATCGTGAGCGTTGCCATGTGCGTGGGCCGTGCATGCGCGCGTGGTACGGCGTCGGGGAGAGAGAGTCGCAGTGAGTGAGCGCCGGTGCAGACGCTCAGGGCGGACCGCAGTGGCCTTGTCCCGAACGGTCTCAGCTCACGGCCAGCGCGGCTGAGTGCGTTGTCCGCGTCTGCGCCCGCTTCTCTCTCCTCTCTCCATCTTCCTCCGCCCCATCCTCCCGCCTCTCCTCACCCCCTCGCGCAGGGCCTTTTTGCCCACCATGCCTCCCGCGATCGCGGGCTCCACGTCCTCCGTCCTCAAGGGCGCATGGCGCCCAACCAAGATCATGAACATGCGCGACCTGTCGCGCGACGACGATTTCCTCAGCCACCTGCTCGTTGAGAAACTCGGCACAGGCGGCTTTCCTCTCGTCGTCCACAAGATGGACCCCTCCAGGAGGCTCCCCAAGACTGACCCGGAGGACCTCATGAAGATTGTCCGACGTGTGAGTCTCTCCCCGTCTTCTTCACGACCCACTGACGTCTTACGATCCGTCCTTGCCTCCCCGCATCCTCACCTCCCCACATTCTCCCCCAACAGCTCGTCGCCTTCAAGGGCCCCAGTCAGACCGCTATCCGCCAAGCCGTAGACGATCTCCTATCGTACGCCAGTCCCTCTCTTCTCCTTCCCAACCACAGCCACAGCTCACTTTTCCCCTCTTTCTCCCGCGCAGCCTCGCCGCTGTACGTTACTATGTCCGATCTTACACTCAGAAGCAAATCAACGCGTTCGCCACGTATGTCGCCACCCTCCCATTCCATCACACACGCGCGTTCCCTGACGCGCTTCCTCCCTCTCTAGCCACGCCTCCCGCTACTTTGAGCTCTACCTGCCCTCTGGTTCCATCGAGATCGCCCACACCTCCCGCTACTCCCATCGCACCGGCAAGTCGGAGTTATGCATTCTCGCCACCCGCCCTCTGGTTCCTGGAACCGTGATCTCCGAGCTCAAGGGCTCCATGGCCGACTTGACCGAAGAGGAGGACAAAGAGCTCAAGGGCACTGACATCGGTCGCCCCGAAAGCGTCGGAATTCGTCGCGATTTCAGCGTCATCCATTCCAAACAGCTCAAGAAAAATCATCTATTCTTGGGTCCCGCCCGCTTTGTCAATGTGAGTGTTCGTCCTCTACCGCTTCCCAGCACATTCGCTTGGCCAATAATTCTTCCGTCTATGTGCTGATCATCTCACCTCCCGTGTCTTCCCTCATTACACGTCATTCACACTCGCACAGCATGACTGCGACCACAACGTCGAACTCTTTCGCGAAGGACGGTACATCACGTTTCGAGTCATCAAGCACATAGGCGTCGGAGAGGAAGTGACAGCGCACTATGGCGACGGATACTGTATGTACCTTTCACGGGCCCTTGCCAATCACGCCCCGTGACATTCGTGCCCTGACGTTTTTGCCGTTTTCTACGCAGTCGGTCGCAATAATCGCCACTGTCTCTGCCAGACCTGCGAGTTCAACGGCCGCGGTGGTTACGCGCCGCACAATGACGAAGAGGTTTCCGATTCTGGTTCCGCTCCTGACGGTTCGTCCTCGGATAACGAGGACGAGTCGGACTCAACGACAGACAATGAAGATGCGCCATTCCGCTCCGCCAGTGTCAACGTCAACGAGAGGCGGACTCGCCGCGGCGTGTATGCGGTCTTGCCCGACGAAGAAGACGACGCTTCTGACGCGGATGTCGAAGCTGAACTCGAAGCTGAGCCCGACGCCACATCGGAACTCACGTCTGCACCGCGCTCCAGTTCATCAGCACCAGGCCTCGCAGGTCCATCGAATCGCACAGGTCTCCTCACTCCTGACACCGAGACTCTCCCAGATGAAACCGGGTCCGCCTCAGCAGCGTCTACCCCTCGTAAAACAACGCCCACGTTCACCATCTCCACCCGTGCTCAGAAGGCTCGAGCTGCGTCCGAAACTGTCGGTGCGAGCATCAGCGGCACCGCCAGCGGGCAGGGCAAGGGCAAAGGCAAGGCGCGCGCCCCGAGCTCGCGCTCCGCATCGGCTGTTCGTCAACTCGAGACGCCTCCGCTCACGTCCGACAACGGTTCTGTCGCAGATGGCCCCACTCTTCGATCGTCCTCTCGTTTACGTGTCCGCGGGGACGCTGCGTCTTCTGCGTCGCGCGTCAGTACTCCCATGCGCGACCACAAGAGCAAGGCGCCAGCGTCCGCGCGCACGTCGACCGCCGACCTGGCAGACCTCAAAGGAAAGGGCAAAGAGGATCCCGAATCGGAAGGGCGTTTGTTGCGACGGCGTCCCGTCATGCCCGCCGCTCTCGACGCGCCCGACGCGCTTGCGAAGAAGCCGCAGGACGGCCCTCGAGGTGTAGATGGGAAGCTTCTTCCGACATGCATGACTTGCAAGAACGTGCTCCCCGTGATCTCTGTGGACGATAAGGTCGTATGGAACGGACTGCCGGAGAAGACGGGGAAAAGAGGGAGGCCTCGCAAGCAGGTTGAGCAGGAGTGCCCCAGGTGCGTCGCAATTTTTCATCAGTTGCATTGACGTGCCTAACTCTCGTGTAGATGTATGCGCCATCTTGCTATATACGCGGCTCGGTGGCCAGAGCGCATGCCCACGGACGGAACCCCGGCCTTCGTCCCTGCACCACGAGAGAATAGGAGCAACACGCCGGCCCATCCACCGCACAAGCCGCTCCCATCTCTCCATCACAAGCTGTCGAATGCTGCATTGGGCTCTCGCTCTGCCTCAGCCGTTGAGAAGCGACCACTCAAACGACAACGTACCGTGGAAGCCGAAGAGCCGGCGCCGGCGCCGAAAAGGCAGAAGGTCGCCACCACCTCTGCCTCTGCTTCCGCTTCTACAGCTACAGGTCGGCCGCGCGGACGTCCGCCGAAGAACAAGGTGGGCATGTCGACCAAGGCACGCGAGCTTCTAGGCGTCAGCGAGCGACGCAGCGGCCGCACGCGCGTACCGAGCCTCAAGCTTCGCGAGAGCGAGCCTCCGTCGAAAGGCAAGAGCTCACCTGTTGCTTCCTCGTCGAAGGCTCCTCTCTCTACCGCCTCAACCTCCTCTGCGTCTTCAAACTCTGACTCCTCCGACTCTCCTCTCAGCGCACCACACCGCGAGGCGAACGACCGCCATCACCTCCGCAGCCTCGGAAGCGCACTGCCGCCGGAACCGTCTACACCCGTGTCTATCAAGACGGAGGCCGCACCCAAGTTACCTACGCCAAAGTCGCTCGCAGTCGCATCGCAACCGCGCGAGGCGAACGGCAGATTTGGTAAAAAGGCGACGACCAACGGCCGATACCAGCGCAAGTTCTGCGTCGGCGCCGGTGGCCGGAAAATGGCGCGGGGACGGAGAACGAACAAGGTGCGGCCGAAGGCGACTGAGATGGTGCCGAGCGGAAACGTTGGAGTTGGTGATGAAGGGGAGGCGGCGAAGGTCCAGGCGGTCGAGGCAGCTGCGAGCGCCGGCAACGAGACGCCATCGCAGCTTCCGAAGCGGCCTCACTACGATCCGGGAGATGAAGACGAGGACGAGGACGAGGACGAGGAGCGAAGCAAGCGGCGCAAAGTGGATGCCGAGAGGGAGGATGAGCTGCTGGTACAGATCAAGACGGAAGGTGAAGAGGCGGACTTGTCTGTCGTATCGTATGAGGAGGAGGCGGAAGAGGAGGCAGACCCCCAACCGTTTCGGCGTCCACTCTTAACTGCGTCGAAGAGCGGAGCAGGCCTCCTTTCTAGGCCCAATCCTCTCACGTTTGCTCGCCGCAAGTGGACCTCGTCGGTCCCTCCCGAAGATCCAGAAGAGATCCTGGCCCCCGAAGACTTGTACTTGCCGCAGTCTTCCTCCACAGAGGACGACACCGACTTGCCGGTCACCCCGGAGGACGACGCCGACCATCCTGTTACTGTCGCTGACGATTCTGGCGACGCCGATCCTGCTGAATCAGATCAGCAGGAGGATCTAGGGAACGAGTCGGACGAAGACACGGAACGGATGTTTGTCCGTCCCAGACTCATGGTCAAATCTGCATACGCCGGGTCTCGGTCTATGGCCTATAAACCTAATCCACTCAATATGTCCAGGCGGCGATGGGGTCCCACCCCGTCCTCTGCGGCTGATCCGGACGAGTCCGGAGACCCGTCCGAGGGGAAAGCACTGTCGAGACCCACGATGCTTAGCTTCACGGACTTGTTCGAAGCTGATCCAGACGAAGCATCTGCCGGAACTGAAGACCCTGAGCCTGTTCATGGAAGCGTAGATCCTGACGTTTCTTCCGAAGAGGTAAGTTCAGCTCAACACCACGGCGGCGCTAGGTTAGTTGGTGGCGCTGACATCTGACGCTCCTACTCTAGGAGGGCTTCCGTGGTCCCAGCATATTATCGATCTACAAACCCGGCCGTCGGTCCTCGTCAGCGTCTTCTGCGCTGCTCGACTTAACTGACGATTCCGAGCAGATTGTCGAACGACTCGTGTCCGTCTCTGATGCTCCTCCTCTCAACGTGGATCCGAGACCCTCGTCAACCAACTCCCTCCCTCTCTGTAAGCCCCCCTCTCCTCAGAAGCCACCAAGCAAGACCTGGCAGCAGACCGTCTTGCTACCTATGAATGCGCCATTCCTTCATCATAGCACTACTCTCACGGTCACCTCGGACATTCCGCCAGCGCCCACTAAGCTCCTACGCGCGGGGTGGGACAATGGGAGCTCTGACGATGCGGACTGAACAGATCTTTTATCGTGTTTATTCCTCTGTTGCAGGGAACGTACCTGTCCCCTCTGTGCTTACGTCTGACAATGTGTTGAACACTAGAGCCTCAAGAACGATGACTGGCGCTTTCTTATTGCTCCTTATTGTACCGGTATCTCGCACGCTTCCTTTCCGGTTTGTCGACTCCGCATGTAACGACGCCTCTGCTTCAACGCTTACGTTCTGTTAGCATATACCTTCCATTTCCCTTTGTACATGTATCTAATACGTGCTCAAGTGCTGTCTTGAGCGGTCTAATATCGATCAGTGTTCGGCTCGGGTGGGACAGTCCGTATGGTGAGATAGATGCTTGGATCGCTGCTGTATTAGTACACCTGCTTTATGATCGTCTACTGCTGCCCATCTGGCTTCAATGAACTACGTCCTGCTCGCAAAATTTCATCGGTCGATAACAGGTTAACCGCGATGACGGAACTAAACGAGACACGTTAGCATATAGGGTCGGCGACAGTAGCATACAAATACCGACCATGAGTGGAGCATTTGCCGCTTCACGCGGTAGTTGTCCCATACGCCTTGCACAGTCGGGTCAAATGGCTCGCCCGACTCGAGGTCGATGCCAACTACGTTGCCATCAGCTGCCTCGTCCTGCAGCGCAACGGTCACGTCCTGTACGTCGTATCCACCATTCGCGGCAAGGGTCTTGGGGATGATGAGCAATGCCTCCGCGAAAGCCTGGACGCCCATCTTCGCCCGACCCTTCGCGCACTTCTTTACAGGTCCGTTGAGGTGCGCTGCGCACGCAACCTCGAACGCACCCGCACCGGGGATCAAAGCCTCGTCTTCGAGTGCGTTCTTGACCGCGCGGAGGCCATCGCGAAGCGCGTCCTGAGTCTGCTGGATGGTGTGCGGGTTGGGACCCTTGATAAGGAGCGTCACGCTCTTTGGATCCTTGACGTCCTCGACGAACGTGAATTTGTCCTCGCCGAGCGTGTGCTCATACACAAGCCCTGCCCATCCGAGGACGTCAGGCGTGAGATCATCGACCGAGTTTTGCGCGGTGCCTCCGCAGATCAGCTGCAATCTGCCGATACGATATGCTACGTCAGCTACGTGGACGAGAAAATGCGAGGCAGACGTCCTCACCGCTCCATGTTACGTCGCTTCGCGCGACGCAGGGCAAGGATACCGTTCTTCGCCAAGATATCCAAGCTGAGAGGATCGATGCCCTTTTGATTGATGACGACAAAGTTTTTCTTCTTCTCATTGCTGCCTACGGCCTGGTCACATACAAGGTTCTTGAGCTCGACGATCTTTTTGCACTTCGCGTCGGTGAACCGACGCTCCGACTCGACGAGCTTTTCCCTCTGCTCCGCTGAAGAGTAGAAGAATCCAGAGTTGACCTCCCTGGATGGCGCGATTGAGCTCTCTAGATCGAAGCACGAATCATACATATAAACGTACGTCTTCTCGTACTCCAGGCTGACGTTCAGGGTCAAGATATAAGCATTCTCAACGCGTTTGGGCATGTCGGGATGTCTTGCACCATGATCGAGGACGAGACCACGGATGAGCTGCGTTTCTGACGCAGTTCTGTGTTGCATCTTCATGATTTCGACCATGTGCAAGTCGATAGGCTCACGGAATTGATGAGGCGCATCTGCACGCAGACGTGAGCAGGGAGGTCACGCGTCAGATAGACGATCAAACCTGGGGAGGGATGAGGAGGTCGGATAGTGAGAACGGCATCCACAACTTCAGCAGCAAGCTGTTTCGCGAGGGCAGAGTTGACTTTGGTGGCCAGGGAAGTGTATGCGACATTGATGAGGGTAGCACGATCAAGGTTGACGGGTCTCTTGAACTTGTCGAGGAACTGCCATAGAGAACGCGTGAGTTGAGAAGCTATGAGAGATCCAAGAAGGGTGGGCACCTCGAGAGCCTCTTTCTTTGCGATGTCAAAGCCCTCTCCAATCACGGTTGGATGAACACCCTCGGAGATGTATCGATCGGCCTGCTTGAGTAGTTCGCCGACAAGGAGGACGACTGAGGTGGTGCCGTCTCCGACTTGATCATCCTGGGCGACAGCGGTGCGGGCAATCATGGCAGCGGTAGGGTTTTGGATCTGCATCTCGGAAAGGAGGACCTTGCCGTCCTTGGTCATTTTGATTTGGCCGGAACCGTCGACGAGCATCTTGAGGGTACCCCTCGGACCTATCTGATATGAGCGAGAATGTGGGATGCAGATGACAGAGTGTGTATACCGAGATTTCCCTTGACCACGTTTGCGAGGCCCATTGCACCAGTCGTGTTGACCTGGAGGGATGCGTAAATGTGAGTGCTTGTCTGATAAAGAAGAGAGCGATGCACGCACCTGAAGGGCAGCTGCCCTGCGGACACTCTCTGCCTTGGGATTGATGAGTTCGATGCTGGAAGACATGGCGAAGGGAGTTGGGGAAGACCGAGGACAGACGAGTGCAGAGACTGCACTCGCAGAGCGCAAGGCCAAAGATTCTGGCAAGCACCAGCGCGGCCCGGATTACGTCAGCTTGCCTCTTTCAGCTATGCATACCCAAAGGCCGCCCCAGTACTTGTACTCAGTCCGTAACTGCCACTCATGAAGTACTCTTTGTGCTCATGCCAGTGAACGGTTCCAAGCTACAGTGGTGCTCAAGTACTCTCAGCCTACCCTTTTCACGTCCGGTCCAGCTGCCCATGGTGGTTTTCTTGTTCTTTATGTTCAAATGTCTCCGAGTCCCCCTACTCACCGCCCAAGCAGACAGACACTCATCGACTCGTAGTTTCTGAGTCGCACCCCCCTGCGTCATCATACAATATTGCCTTTTAGCTCCCTTCGTGACCCAGCAGAACCTGCTGGTGCGGAGACAATGCTTCAGCGACCTCCCACTTCGCTCTTGGCTGTAGTTAGTCTCAGATGCGCAGCGGCAGTCAGACAAACCGCATGTCAATATCCACGTGCCCCCGCAGCATATCACTTCTACCTTGCTGTCGGCCAAGAGTCCAAGACCCATCAACATTCTGGAGCCAGTCCGCAAATGTATGCTCGTTGCCGTAACTGAGGTAACAGGTCCCTTAAATCTCATCCCGCCCCGCCTGGCTAATCGATCCAGCCCATAAGCATCGCAACGTTTCTCCACGACAACGCCTGCAGCCGTGTCCGGCCGTGTCCTCGCTAAGTACCAATTTGTACAGCTTGCTATAGGAACGGCCTCTAGTCTCGACCAAGACAGTCCGCGTGTCAACGTCCCGTGCGAGGGTTTTGCGCCGAACCTGGAACAGCCTCCTGTCCCCACTCAGCTCCCCCAACGTACAGCGTCCCTGAAACATTTCTTCTAGAAAGTCTGTTATGATCCTCTGGCGACGATCCTCATTGGTCGCTGCTGTCCAGCATGATTCTTTCCGGGCAAACGGCTATCATGGTCATAAGCTTGTAGTCCCTATTATTCAAGGAGCTTCCGCGACACGCGGTGTTCCCGCCCTAGAAGTCAGCTGCGAGCATCGAGTCTCGACGGCATAAATACTCGAACTCTCCACTGTCGCATTCTCACTTGTGCCCACAGGCTTACTCCCTCCGAGTGTTCCACCGTCCTTCCCCGCCCTAGAAGTCCGCAATGAGCACCACTGCTTTCCCACCCGTGCGCAAGGACCGTGTCCGCCTCATCGGCCTCATGGCCAAGAAACCCGGCCTCTCCGACGAGGAGTTCTTCAAGCACTGGCATGAGGTCCACGGCCCGCTGTTCACCAATCTCGAAGTCACGAAGAAGAACCTCCTCAAGTACGAACAGGTGCGGTCTCTCTCGTCGTTCGCCCCGACTGCTATTCGTCCCATAGTCGACAGAGCTCAACTGGCCTTACCATTCGCAGCATCACTACACGACCCAGTTTGAAGAGGGAGCCAAGGCGATGGGTTTCGACGTCGCTCCATACCGTGGCATTGCTCTTTTCGAGGCCGAGTCCTACGATAAGATTATGGAGATATTTGCGAGCGAAGAGTATAACGCCATCGGTCTCCCCGATGAGCAAAAATTCCTCGATCGCTCGAAGACGGGTTTCATCCCAGGTACCATCATCACATTCATTGACACGGATAAGAAGGCATAGAGGTACCCCAACGTTCCAGATACGTATGCATGAACAGGACTGATGTGGGATGCTCTTCCCCACAGCGTATGCACCTTAGTCACAACCCTGCGCCTGTACGATTGATGGACAAGGAGACATGACTAGACTCACGTAATGACCGTCTTTACGGCGCTGCTGCCTCACTATACTCCCTGTGTCAATATTGTCTTTCCATATCGCTGAACACCTGGTACTTGGCGCGTTTCAGCAAGGCCTCGGCCCTCGACTTCTGCTTGACAGTACCGGTGCCAACCTGACAGCAGGCTCTCTTCTTCATATTGAATGCCTACGTTTCTTTTCGACTATTCGTATTCTTCCTGCAGAGCCTGGTGGTCCTCCCCGGCGCCACTGAATCGATTCTGACATGCAGACTGGGTCCCGCGCGAACGCGTTGTCGGTGAGAGTGCTTACCTCATCCTGGCGCTGTGGGCTCGCTTGTGGCCAACTGCCCCTACGATGCCTACTGTGTGGTAAGTAGCTGTAGCTAAATTGGCTTCACAAAGGTATGTGTGTTCAGGGGTTCGTGGCCTACCTTCCTTGATAGCCTGGCCAGAAACTGAGTTATTATGTGATTCGGATGATGTCTCTGAATATCGCCGTCCGCAGACATTCACTAAGACATTTCAAGCGAACAGGACGCGTACAGGTTGATTTAAGTGGTTGAACTATGAGTACAAACAATAACGCGTGTACTACGACGGGTCAAGCAACGCATACAGCAGCAGTACCACACCGTACGAGCTAATGTCTTTTGCGGGACTACGTGACATAACTACAATATATGCGTCAAAAGCGCCTGTATAAGTCACTTGCAACATACATGCGCTTGAAGCTTACCGCAAATTCTGAGGCGGCGTGCGGGAGAGCCGCATGACGCTACAGGTCAATTATCGTAGCAAACGGACCTGCCAGGATTTGTGCATTCTCATGGTCAAAGAACTTGAGCTCGTCAGGGACGACAACGCGGAGGTATTCCTCGTCTTGGAAGATCTCGAAAATCTTCTCAAGTGTAGTTGCCTCGAAGATGGCGATTCCTCTGAAGGGCGACTTTGATTTGGCCAGTGACTGGGCAGCAATGACGTCGTCGTATTTGGGGTCGAGATGGAACTGCATAGAAACGCAGTGGATGAGTCCCAGACTCGTCTAAGACACTCGTCTGGATGGTCCGCTCACCTGTTCGTATTTCAGCAGATTCCGCTTTGCGATGGCAATGGATGAGAACACATTGGCGTGTACATCGAGCCAGTAGCGGTCGAACTCTTCGAAGCAGAGGCCAGGTTTGGGAGCCATGAGTACGGCAAGGCGTACACGGTCCTTTCGAAGGGTTGAGGCGGTGGAGTCGGTGTTGGAAGTGGAAGACATTAGCTGAAGTAGCGGTCGGGAGGCGCTATAATGGGATGGGAGCCTAATATCACGACAGCCAAACGGCCTCTTATACCAATCGACGTCTCTTCATCCTTCACACATATGGTTCGTCACAGTGCCGGGGGTGGTCGTTTGCAAATAGAGCAGGGCTCGGCGAAATCCAGATGCCGATGCGATCGTTTGTTCCCTCTTGTGAGGTGAGAGACCGAACGAATTTGCATGATTCGGGATGTGAACAGGGAACATACGGGCCTGCATCCATTTGCTAGAAGTACGTGCGAGAAGTTCTTTCAGCGCGAGTCGACCATGACGTACATTCGATCCGATGAGACTAGAAGCATACGTGTTGTTCGGCGAGGCCAGTCGTACATAGTAAGTCAGAATCCAGACTTACCCAGGAGCCACCTGAACAGATGTGGCCCAAGTGTCTCGTGAGTGGACCAAGCATTTCGTCCGTCCCTTTGCTGCCGAGCCTGGGAAGGGATTCAACGTGATAACGCGCACGAGTTGGGCCTTAGGAGCGATGGTCATCTCGCTATGCTAAAGTAGTCATGCAACTGTCTTCTGCGTGGAATGGGGATTCGCAGCTCAAGTGTTTGAAGGTGCGTTCGCAACTAAATCTACGACAAATCGCAGGCGGTCAACGGGCATGGATGATACTACTACCCGTAACGCTGACTAACAATTATGCCAGCACGGTACGATTTCAGCGCCATTCTGCCGGAGCTGTGGAGCATATGCTTCCTGCACCAACCTCTTGAAAACTGCGTGGTTTGCGTCCGACGGCGATCTCACGACACAAATATCTCCCGTAGACCGTCCGCGCATTTCCTACGTGAATGCTAGGCCGAAAATACAACAGTGATACGGAAGAACGCGCTATAGATGACGAGCACTCAGCTGATATGCATCGTTGGCAACAATACCATATCTCCCCGGTCCGTCGTATGCCTCCATGAACCAACTTCTCTATCGCGCGACTGACTTTAATCGACGCTCCAAGCAGCGATCACTTCGTCCAATGAGCGCATCGTCCATCCGGATCCCATAGTCGTTGACATCTGGGTCCCGGTTGCATGCAGGAGCTCCTTGATCCCTTGGTCCAAGACATCCGTGTCAGTAGTGCCATCGGGCGGCGGAGCGACGATGCACCGGTCGTGAGCGGATCGGGCGAGACTTCTGAGGACAACAAGCACCGTTGACACTGGTACGCTATTCCGCTGAAGATACCACGACAAGTGATGGGAAGCCATCCTCTCCGCGGACGACTCCTGTTGTCCGGTAATGCCCTCCCCACGAGCGTAGTGGGCGAGGAATGATTGAAACAGGGTCGTCGAGCGGATAGCGTCCAGATTGACGTCTAGAACGTGAAGAGTGCCCAGGAGTGTGTTCTCCCTTATCAGCGGAGGTCTACTGTTATTCTCCGTTCTCCCACTGAATCTGCGATCGTAAATTTTGCTATAAAAATCCGCGGCGAACCTGAGGTCTTGAAGTCGCATCGTGAAATAAGCCGACTCTGGGGACACGGTGCGTATGTGGAAGATGGAGAGATGTGATTGGAGGGTCTGCGGCTTGTCCTGAACGATGCTGTCGAGTAGTGCAGCGTGGCAGTATGACTGGAAGCGTCGTTCGTCCGGCGTCTCCCCGTCGTCCTTGCAAAAGCGGTCGGCGAAAGCGAGGAATAGCGGATCATTAGAGGAGGACGCAATGAAGTGGTGTAGATCGCTGGCGGGATGGGCTTTGAGATCAGTCGTCCTAGGGAAATCCAGCGTCGCCGCATCACCTGTGGAGGATCCAGAGCGCACGAACAAGCTTCGGCTACCCTTGGGATCCTCCATGTAGCTGAGGAACGCTGTACGTCGCTTCACGAATAGTGTTTGACTGCGCAAGAGGCAGTCCCTGTGACGCGGCGAGTTGGCAATATCCAGGTAAAAGGGCCAGTATCGCGGAGTATCTACTCTGATCGAGACTAGCTTGTCGACCTCTGGTACCAGCGTGGGTGCAATGAGCTGAACATTGCCAATCTCCTTTCCATCCCTGATCTTGATCTTGACTGGGACGTAGACGACCTCTCGCGAATCGACGTCCCTGGCCACGAGGCATCTTGGTTCAACAGCGAGAACCCAGAGATGGCGATAAGCTTGCAGATAGCTCTTGTTATCGGAGGAGACGGGAGCGAATCGAGGGTAAAAGGCTGCAATCAAACACGCAATAGCAGCGTCCGAAGTCCCGAGGGTGTAGCGCCCGCCGCCCAGGAAGAGAAGACCGATAGACATGTGGTTGGCAACATGACAACCATAGCGTATAGGATGGTTGTACATTCCGTAAGCATATCGTAAACGTCGGAGGCAGTTGATCTCCCCGGTGCCAGCCATGACCATAGTAAGGCTGACGGAGATGAGGTTGAGGCCTTCCCGTATCGCGGAGCGCTTAATACGCTGGTCATACGCCATACCTGGGAACAGATGTGGGTGAGAACGAACAATGAATTGGAAAGCACGCACTGTTGGTGTATGCCAGTTGACTAAACATGTCGTAATATTGGACCAGGAGGAGGTATGCTTCTTCGCGGGCCGTCCCAGCGTACTTCAACGCTATGGCAAAACAGGAGCCAGCGAGAAGGTTGTAGTAAGCCAGCTCGTAGCCGTCGTCCACCTGTTTCCCCCGAAACCGTGCGTCCATAGCGGCCTTGACCGCAGAAGGCAGTTGGCCCATGAGCCAAGCTTTCGTCGGCTGGATGGTGTTCCACATGATAATCGCACGAGCCATCGCCCTGAGCATGAGAAAGCTGGGTTGAATCTGGTTAATCGCTTCGAGCGTGTCCGGGATCGTGAGGATGTCTGCCACGTCTTGACGCTCTGTGCGTAGATACATCAAGGCCAAGGTGACGGTGGCCGCAGGAGACGTCAAGTTGACGTCGAACGTCGGACGAGCAGGCCTCCCGTTGTCTACCAAACGAGGCTCCCCATGGATGAGTAGGCGTAGACGTCTCTGGATAACCAGATCCGCAGGGATAGAGGATCCCTTCCCAAGCAAGACCATGCCACAAGCCAGGGCGGCAGAGAGGGTGTAGGCTTCACGGTACTCGTTGCTGATGTCAGGCTGGTAGAGGTCTCGCCTGCTGATCTGATTCAGGCATACTTCCGCCATCCGACGGTGCTTCGTTCCCATGTACAGAAGACCGATGCCCATCAGTCCAGCCGACTGCGTGATGAGGGGTACATTGAGGTCCACGTCAGGGGTAGGCAGCAATGCAGGCGTATGGACCGCGATGAGTTTCGTCACATGTCGGTTGCTGGTACCTACGTTAGCTGCAGCGAGACCCAGGAGGACGCCAATGGACGTCATATCGTGCTTGGGCGTAAGATAGCCGAAGGTGTGCCAAGTGAGCATCTCTCGTAGATGACCTGTGAGGCCGAGGGCGTAAAGGAAGCCGGCGTGTTCAGGGGTCAGCTCGCTGGGCTTGTTGAACTTGATCCAAGAACTCTCTACGGACTGAGCCTGGGCAGAGATGCGTAGGCCAGCCGCAACACCGTTGTGGAATTCGCCCCAGTTTAAGCACTCCGGCGGAATCTTGCCACCCTCGGGGGCGAGTAATAGATTGCCTGGCTGTATGCGCACAGAAAACTCGAACTTGGGAATCGCGAAGGACTCCTTCGTCACTATCGGGATGGTCCCAAAAGTGAAGAGCGCACGTCCCAGCGGCAGCGCAAGAGTCCGTTCGGTCATTCTGATGACTTGGTGCTGCTGTTCCCGCAATTGCTCTGCCTCACTACGGAAACGCGTACTGTTAGCATGGAAACAGCAACGCCACACGGCAACTACGCACTTGAGCTCTGGCCTTTCTATGGCACGTATGTGGGGGATAGTAGCCGAGCAAAGCATACGCGCAATCTCTTCAAGCCGCCTGTCTTGTCCAAAGCGGATCCGCGTGAAGTCGTTCGTGTCGAGCTCTACGCCCGTGGTCTTCGTCGGATCCTTGGAAACGACGCGATGGACATCTTCGATTAGCTGACGACATGTCTTGCGAGGGACGCTTGGATGCTAAAAGTTCACAATCAGGGTCATGCTGCCTGAGCTCGAGCGTTCAAGGCCGCTCACCAAGATCTCTCGCACGGAGCGATACCCGCTGTTCGCGAAGACGGCTGGATTCGAGCTGAAGCCTTCTGCCAAGTCGTTTCTGCCAATGAGCTGATAGATCGGCACAGACCAGTCGCCGGCAGGTGAAAGCTGGGCTGTTCGCAACGCCTCCCGCAACGGGGCGGACACACCAAGAGAGAGGTTCTGCAGAATGGTGGGAGTGATTCCAGTCTCCTCCATGGCACGCAAGCCTGCCTCGGCGCGCTTCCGGATGTCAGGCGTCTTCCCATCCGACAAAGCCATGTAGATCCTGTTCAAGGCCTGCAAATGAGTGAGCGGTTCCTGGCGCCCGAACACGAAAGCTGCGGGATATCCATAAAGTGTGTGCAAGTTCCAGCTCTCTAGCCAAGGGAGCGTCCACTCCGGGTTATTGATGCGCCCGTAGAGAATGCTCGACATGTCCGCAGGCCACACGGGCAGGCGGTCGTCGATGTATTCTGGCACTGCGGGATGACAAGGGATGAGGAGTTGACGCAAGTTAAGTCACAGGATATGCGTACCTGTCGCTGAAGGAATAGGCCATGCCTGCATAGCATTGGGGCAAAATCGCTTCCAGTAGTCCGCCCATTCCGGACGGACGATCATAGCGAGCCGACAAATCAGTGGCGTCAGTCGAGGGAGGCCCTCGTAGCTGGGGAGGAATACTCTTTTTTCTTCTGCAACGAGGTGTAGAACGTGTAGTGCAGCGCTGACAAGGGGATGCGGTTTGCTCGAAGGTTTTCGCCAGTTCTCGGCAGGTCGAGGACCAGGGAGCTGCAGCTTCCGGAGAACTGGATCTTCTTGGAATTTGTCGAACGACTCCGTCGCCGAGAGCCGGATCCAAGGATCGTCTGCGAGACGCGTCTCAAGAGGTCCTTCCGTCTCAAGGCCAAGTGTTTGCAGCAAACTGGTCTCGAAAATCTTGAACTCGACTCCAATGATGAACGAAAAACCTGTTGCAGCCCATTCCGCCATGAACGTTCGATGAAGAATGAAGAACATGTCTGCTGGAAAGACGAACGAAAGCATGAGGAGGCAATCGGAGACCAAATGATCCCGAGGAATCAGATCTAACGAGACGCGGACGGTCGACTCATCGGAAAGTTGCAAGGACACAGAGGAGTACACAGGATTAGCGAGCCCAACGACATGCGACTTGTTTGGACCTTTGATAAAGCGTCCATGGCGGATCACCGGCAGCTTCACGGAGAGTGGTAGCTCGAATGTCCCGTGAACCAGTAGAGCGAGCTTCCCGTCCGGCTTCAACAGAAGCAGATCGGCTACGAAGTCGCGGGTCGCGCGGACGGTTGCAATAGCGAGTGCAGGAAGCCGCGTCAGGGGCTGAACGCCCATCGTCAGGTCGTCTCGCCTCTCGAGTGCATATATCAGCACAGTAGCCGTCGCGCGAAAGCAGATACCCAGGAGAGACCGGGTCTTCTTGCCATCCCATCGCTCGTCAAACGCGGCGACAGAGATGTTCTCATAATCAGCGATGCTATCCGAAGCGATGTTAATAATTCAAAAACAGCAGAAGGGGCACGTACTCACGCAGCCTCCGGTAGGGTCTCTTCGTGAAGTTTCTCAGCCCAGAACTGGGACTGCATGCGCTTCTCCTCTGCAGGGTCGGGGACGTCATCCAGATTGACAGGTTCAGACGCCCTCCATGTGTTCAAGTCAAGCTTGCCGGATGGATCCGTCTTCAGTGGGAAAGGAGGGTTCCAGTGAGACTTTTTTGAGAGGTCTCCTCCTACGACTCCGCCCATCAGCTCTTCCATAGTCGTAGTCGTCGTGAGGGTTGGTGCCAATCCCGGAACAGCAGATGTTCGTTTTGTGTCTGGTCGACCTGGAGATAGGTGGAGGTCGTCTGTCGTCGCGTTGGACTGTCGAAGGTGGGCGGACGTGTTCCCCGACATCGAGGAACGTTTTGCGTGCTGAGCGTGCGTGGTCGGACGGGCATTAGACTTCCTTGAGCTAGGAGGCGGCGGGGCATAGACATATCGCCAGATAGTGACACGGTTGAGCTCTGCATTGAGCGTAACGATGAGCTTGTCGGTCAACTTCCAAGCATGCTGGGACACCCAAATGATACGCTCATCGGGTGGCAGGGAGACCGGATCAGAGTAATAGTCGGGCTTCAACTCCAAAGGAACACCAGCATAGTCGCCCTTGATTCCGTCTGTCAGGCCGATGGCAGCAGGCTCTGAGAAGGGGCTGGTGAGGGTGAAGATGGTGGTGATTCCGGCTTGACCAGACTGCTTGATCTCCTCAAGCTCCCAGGTATCGACGACACGCTGGATGAAGAGACCGTGGGGTTCGACCGGCCAGGCGCGTCGGACGAGAAACGGCAGATTGAGAGTGTGTTCGGATCCGTTGTCCATGTAGATCTTGGTCTGGCCACGGACAAAGACGAAGACGCCTCTGGTACGCTCCTCTCGGTCTTCCTCCCGTTTCTTTTCCATGCGAGCGCGTGCGAAGGCACCGAAGATGGGTCTCTCACTGGGATCAATATCGAGCGGCATCTTCTCGCTAGGATCCTCTCGGTAGTAGGCGGGGGTGGAGGGAGTAGATGTGTGGACAAGGCTGGACTGGAACAACCACCCGATACATGCCCATTGGACAGGGTCTGCAAAAGACCACTTCTTGTGGAGGACACCTCCTTGGGTCAGAGTGACGGTCGAGGAGTCCCAGGTGAGGACCTCGTCTCCGGTCGCGCCGTCTGCGCTTGGGGAATAATAGATGGACTGGGTGGAAGGGTCCTGACCGCGAGCGGCTCGGAGAGATTTGCGGATTGAGCGGAGGAGAGGTGAGTCGCTGTCGGAAGCCAGAGGTCTTGACACGGCATTCCGAGCGAAGTATGGAGGAGACGGAGGGGTGTGAAAGGCGAGGGGCAGCTCGATCGGCTGTAAGTGGGAGGTGGACATACTTGCGCTACCTAGGCAGACGGGACTCCAGGGCCTGCTCGCACGGGAGATGGACAGGATCTGAGAACTGACAGCTTGTGGCTTTGGTGGTGCAGAGGCGCGTTTGTGAATTGCTTGTGGATGAGAAGGGCTCGTGCTAACCACGAAGCGGTCAACAATGGGACGAATGGACTGAGTGCATACAAGCCGACCGTTAGAGATACGGTGGCGGAAGACTATGGTGGACTGGAGGTGAACGGGGAGGCGGGCGATGAGGCGAGTGGCTGAAGCAGCAGAAGCGAACGCGTCGCGTGGGGGCGCGTCAGGTCACGAGGGCCACCCCGCGGGGAAGGCGTCGCTGATTTCGGCCAGGGAGAGACACCGACGTCCCGGTCCCCCAGGTTCACAATTAATGGGCTTCTGCTACCCGCCCCCAGCTCTTTACGACTCTCTGCACCACCGTCAGGTTCACCATGTCTAGCGCAGAGGAATTCCGCAAGAGAACCCTCGCCAGGCTCGACAGCATCCGCTCTCACCTCCAGACCGTTCCGCGCACCTCCCGTCTCAAGGGCAAGGTCTGCATCATCACAGGGGTGGGCTCCCTCAAAGGCATTGGGTCCGTTATCTTCTTGTACACCTCTCTCACGGCCCCACAACTCACCATCGCTGCTACAGGCGTGCTACCGCATTGCTGTTCGCACACGAAGGTCGCCCACTCACATAACCTCCGTGCCTGTATCCTGCTCGAGCATTCTGACGTACTTCGCAGGCGCACGTCACCTCTACCTTGCCGACTACGACCCGACCAACCTCCCCGAACTCAAGTCCACTATTGGAAAGGCATACCCAGACGTCAAGGTCAGCCTCTTCAACCGAGAGCAGCTCACGTCCCATTCACCAAAGCCACGCTCAGGTCACCGTCCAGCAAGCGGACGCTGCTGACGAGGCTGCTGTAGCCGGCCTCTGCAAGCAAGCCCTCCATGACGAGGGGCGCCTTGATGTCTTCTTCGCGAACGTATGTGCCGTCCCACTCTACTGCTCCACCGCTGCTTACGTTACCCAAGGCCGGCATTGCTCCCTTTGCTCTAATTGAAGACCTTGAGGCGAAGCAATTCATAGAGACGATGCGCGTCAACTCACTATCGTGCGTATCAAAGCCACCATTCTCTTGAGGTCTTGTGTTGAGACGTGTCCAAGATGTCTGCTCGCCGTGAAGCATGCCTCGGCGGCGATGAAGCAAACCAACCCATCCCGCGGTAAAGAGTACAGCGGAGGAAGCATCATCCTCACCGCATCCGGTAAGCCATCCCCGCTGCGAGCTCAAAGTGGCGCAAGTCTCACAGGGCGTCTCCAAAGTCGCCGGACTGCGCTCAGGAGCTGGTTCGACCGATTGTGAGTGCGATCAAATCTTCTACGGGAATACGATGCTTATACCGCTTCAGATAGCGCAAGCAAGGCCGCGTAAGTATACCCCACTCGGTCCATGGCACATGCTCACAACACGACCTGCGAAAAGTGTGAACAGCATTGCCCAGACCGCGGTCTACCAGCTCCAGAGGACGGACATTCGTGTCAACACCATATGTCCCGGTCTCATCGAGACGGGCATGACTGTCGGAGTCTTTGAGCCTGCTCGCGCGAGAGGAAACGAAGGCAAGATTGGCCAGCTCAATCCTCTGGGCCGCTACGGCCTTCCTCAGGGTAGGGTGATTTCATCAATGTCATTGGTTACCAGTCGCTCAAGTTGCCTCGCATGCAGAGATCGCGTACGTTGCCTTGTTCCTTGCCTCTGACGAGTCAAGCTATGTGAACGGACAAGCGTGGGCCGTAGACGGGGGTCTATCAAGTTCCCACCCTGTGGTTCCCGGCAGATTCCACTGAGCATATCAGGAGACGGCGAAGTCTACTCCGAAGATGATGCGTTGAACTCTTACTCGTGTATAGGATCATGTAGTGTCAATACTGATTGAGGTTGTCACCTCCGAATGCGATTGCAGTTACTCCTGACTGTCAGTGTTAGATCGTGTGACATGCAGAGGGCCGGTGAAATGCATATGGACGTATTGTGTCTCAGTCCATTGAAGGTTCACATTCGCTAGATGAAGCTCTGGAAGCTGAAGGCTCGTCTGTTGTGGTGCTCGACCAAGGCTTTCTACGTGACGGTGTGGATGGAGACGGTTCGCGACAGGCCTGGATACTGTGTCTCTCGTGGCTGATGGTTATACGATCTTTCAAGTGAGCGTAGGTACGCTATCATTGGCGCTCCTTTCGTCAGGATCACAGTGCGGATAAAGTTTGCATGCAAACAGGGACATTCTCATGTAATACATATTCTAAGACGCTCGCCTCAGCTCAAGCCGCACTCAGGAACCTCTTTCAAGTTGCGCTCTAGCCCTAGACGCTGCGCACCATCAAGCATCCACGCCCTAGATGCACATCGGCGGCCCAAGACAGAGAGGCAAGTCAGGCCGAACCTCGCGATCCACGGATACCTGACCTGTATAGAAGATGTGCGTCCATCAACCTGAGTGCAACAAATTGTCAGGAAGCGGTCTTCTTGCTATTGGTGACGAGGGGTGAGAAACGAGCAGCTCACCTTCGAAGTTGCAACTGATGCGACGTAACCCAGTAAGCTTAACGGCACTGAGAAGAAGGCGCGTTACGAGAGGAGCAAGCGAAGAAGCGCTGCCTCGCTTCCTGCTATCACAACACAGTTGTTAACCCTGTGGAGAGCCCATGCCCTTTGGGGCACACGTATGAGTAGTCTGCGCCTCTGCGCTCGGCGTGATGGCTGGACCAGATACTTATTATTTACCGCCGTGAGACTCCACAATCTCTTCCCGTCTCGGCTCGGCTGGTCTCGTCTGATCCCGGCATTCTGTTATTGACGGCGAGCGTTCGACTGCCATTATATGCCGCGTCGGGCGGGCGACGTTCCTCGTGTATCTGTTCCAACGAGCCGATGGTTCTGCACGAGACCGTGTGGGCAGTTCCTGTTTGGGTGCGCCGCTAGCTGGTATTGCGCGGGCCTCTATGCCGGTGCGTTACCCTGTGTTACGGTGCCTAGCGAGCAGGAGAATGGCAGGTCAGTGGGTGAGCCTTTTCTATCGAATCGCTTCTGCTGTGGCACTGCAAGAACAGGACGTGCTCTCGGTTTATAGAGCATATCTTCTTCCTTCAGTGACAGATGCGATTGGGGCCAATTTGGGCTTGAAGATCCTTGACCCGTACTCGGTCAAGGGCTCTTCCATTCTCATGGTATGTAACCAGGGACTGGCTGAGTAGCTCAGACAGGCCTCTGAATACGGACCATGAGATGGAAGATCCCCAGACAGCTAATACCGGTATGGATCTCCTACCAGACCCTAAAGGGATATCCAACAAAACAACAACAGCGGTAGGACTAGGCGGTGGGACTAGCGCCATAGTCGGGAACGCCAAGTCCGTGAATATGACCAATGCATGTTGATGTATAGCGGCTGAAGAACTCAACAGACGTACCCGCCGATTCTGTCCTTCGAGCAGGACCCGCTGCATGGTCAAGCACGACCGCTTCTAGCGGGAAAACGGAGGTAATGTCGCTCGGTCCAATCCATGCTCGTCCAGCGGTCGAACAAGACAGCAGACGTGATTGAGGAGTTGCGGTTGCGTTGTTGTCGCTGGATGTATCGGAGAGAGGATGCTTGAGAGGGGGAAAGATGGTGCATTATCCTGTGTTACCCGAGGACTTTATACGCTCAAGCCGACTCGACATATTATCGATCAAAGGAGCCTGCCTGGCGGATCAGTTATTGCACAGGTGGGCCGTATAACAATTTGCTCTCCGATATTTGTTGATCGAAGCTCATACCCCTATGCCCATCACATCCTCGACCTAGTTGTTCATGTTCGCTCTGCGGACGCTCGCGATCGTCCGCCACAACCGATGGTCAGTGTGTACAAGCCGCACTGGGATTGCCACGGCTCATCCTGTCAGTGCCCATGCGGGAATACGCAGACTTCAATTTGAGGTCCGCAACTTCCGTTTCCGCGACTCATAGTCCGCCCGAGACACCCCCGCCGGCGCTCGGGCCTTTCTTCTGCTGTACCCTTAAACATTACACCCTATACCTACCCAAGCCTATCGGAGGAACGGGTACATTCTTTCCGTCTTCTGAGCGACAGGCTTCAATCTACCCGGCTTCGCATGACTAGCACAGGAAAGGAGGAGCAAGTATCGTCGTGTACAGTTCATAATGTCATCGCCCGATTCCCTCGTTGCTGCTGATCACCCATCTCTGTACCACCACGACCCATGTCTTCATTCTTCCTTCCCTCGTGCACAGTGAACTCTCGGCTCTTCCTTGGACAACCGTCGCGGAGCCAGGGAGGTCAATTTCGGCGCGAATGGCTCATGCTCGGCTCATCTGACCGTCATCCGGGAGGACAATCGAACTGCGTTGGTCTAAGGCAACCGGGAAGTCGCTCGACCGCAGACGTACGTCGAAATATCCTTCTCCGATCAGCAGAATCAGACTTGTCGCCCTCGTCCTCATCCTCGTTCTCTATCATATCTCCTCCCCTCCTAGCCTCGTGTTCCGTCATGTTAGCCGTTCATATTCCAATGGCTCCGTTCTCTTTCGGACCATGCACATGTATCAGGCTCACAAGCGGAGTTGTCGGGACCAGCGGGTAAATCCATTGCTGCGCCTGCTCGTTTTCCCTATTGTTTTCCATGCGTCTCTTCATGACGTACGCTCACTTGTGGTCAGCAGCAGGCAGCAATGTTGTTACCTCATGCAGGCGGGTAAATCAAAGGCCGGAGCGCTGTGGCCGGTCTCGTCTCGTATGAACCGTACAGGTGCGCCTGCTGGTCGTGTGCGATGACACATATTCTCGAACTGAATACGAGTATGTGCTCCACTCTAGTGTACTCGAGACTGGGCCGAGACGCTCGACTGACTCGCGTTGTGCCTTGGGGTGGGTTCGACCAGACACTGTCTTCAGTACACGAGACTGACAGGCTCTTCCATACAGGCTCAAGTCTCGCGTCGGTAGTCCTGCTTCCGAGCGACTTGTGCGTCTCCCTTGGGTGCCACCGGACGCCCATTGATTGACAGGACACGACGAGCATTGTCCGACATGCCCATGCACAGGGTTCAAGGTACTTCAGAGACCTTGCAGTACTGGGGGAGGCAAGGCAATTCTCCAGATGAACACGGCTGTCGGCATCGTCGTCGCAACAAACTCGATTTACGAGCAGAGCACACTGCTGGTGTTTCATCCTTTTTCTATGAATCAGCCTTCCCTGCTCGCCTCGCCTTCCTGCTTGTGTTTCCTCGACCAACATGCAGATCGACTTGGAGAGGATCAGTCCGAAGCAGAGCGCCGTTACCTACGCGGCTGGTTAGCCGCTTGCTCAAGCGGTTGACTTGCGATCGTTCGCATCCGTTTATACGGGCAGCTGATCAGTCAGCCGCGCGGCTCTCGGGAGCTAACGCAAGGACACAACATCCGTCGGAGCAGCAGGTTTATAGCATAGCGGTCCGAGGATCCTTTCATATCACGAGTGCTACTTCGTCCCGAGATGAGGCAGGGGAGTACGGGTTTCAACGTGTTTTCTCCGTGAGCTACGACGATCTCGTTAGCCACTGTCTCATCCTGCCTTAGCCAGTGGAGCCCGCTCCAGATGCTTCTGAGAGGTGCTGTTACAGGGTCGGTGCAAGGCCTCCGTGTCGGCATGATATCGAAACGTGCTTCTTATTGAACGCTGTTGCTTGCACTTCTACGTGCTGTCCGATTACAATTCCAAATCGAGCCAACCGACTTCCTAACTTCTCAAGCGAAGAAACCCTTACGATCTTCCTTACGCTGTCAAGTGCGTCGTCAGAACACCACATTGGCAAATTGGCACAATATTGACCGTACCATGCGAGTCCCATGACTCAGACCGAGGTACAGTCTGAACAGACGTTCGCAATCCTCGTCACCATGAAACGGGTAATCTGCACCAAGTCTGTATGCTGCTGCAAAACCCGAGGTTACCGCCAGCTCGTGCATGTTCAACACTGCAGGGTAGAGCTTTGTATATGAGCGTTTAAAATTGTCGCAAAGGCGCACATACCTGACCATGCTCCCGCGTAGCTGAAGATGGAGTGAGCTTCCGTGCCAGTCATATAGGATCGATACGTACTGCGTGTTCTGCTTCCCGTTGATGAACATCATCCACGGCACAACGGTAGCGTAATGCTGCCAGCGATGACTCTGCTGCTTCCACCACTTCTCACATATCCGCTTATCCTTGTCGATTTCATTAAACGTCCATAGGTCCTGGCTACCGTCCTTGTCGAGAAAGATCGTTTGGAAGACATGCTTCTCCAGCGGGGGTTCGGAGACTCCTTTCTCATCCTGTCCAGTCCTTACCGCTTCTCCTGCCTTCCTGGCCGTTTCATCGCGTGCCTTCTGTGCGTGGTCGGGTAAACCGCCATTATATTGCTGGTTCGCGGGATCGTCTGAGGGAATAGGCCCTGCCGGCTGCTCCCCACGGAACTGAGGTTGGTAGTGTGTCAGGTCGAAGCTCATCTCGATCTTGGAACGGTCCTGCGCATATTGCATGGTATAGTACAGCGGGCGGAAGCTTTTGGAAGCGAAATCGAAAGCCTCCTCCATTTCTTGTCTCTGTTGCGCATCGTCTTCCGAAGCCAACGGGGCGTTGAGCTTGGGATTGTACCGTATCTCGTAGTACTGGAGGATTCACTAGGGAATAAGGTTCACAGACTGATCATGAAAGACGCACCTTGTCCATGTAGTCGAGGTCGTTGTGCGTGATTGTCACATCGTAGAGGTATTTGACGCTACCAAGGATTCTCTTCTCCTTCCATGTCGCTTCTTTTCCGAGGAGTTTGAGCGCCGAGTCGGCGTCGATAGCTAGGATAAGCTCATCGAAAGCAGCGATCTGCGGCCCATTTCCGAAGTCGGCATCGGAAGCCTTGAATTCGATCTGCACCGGACCGGACTCCTTCGCGGTACGGGACACGACACGGAGCACCTCGCAATTGAATTTGAAGTGGACATTTCCGCGGGACTCGACGTCCTCTTTCCATGCCTGATAGGCATCATGAAGCTGGGTTGGTCCCAAGCGGTTAGCAGGTTAGCAGGGACGTTACAATGCCACATAATATCCACTTGCCTTGGGAAACGCCAACATAGTAGGTATGCTGGCCAATAGACTCTTGTCGTTATACTCAAACAGTTTCATACTCGGATCCATGAAAACGCGTTCCTTGGTTACGAACTCGGTCAAAGGGATGGTAGCCAGCGAATGATTGCACTTACCAATATAGCCGAGGAAATATACGGCGTCTGATTGCCGGTTCCGAAGAACAGAGCGACGAGTGGATAGACCATTCTCTCACCGAAGCCCGAGGAAAAACGAAAGATGCGCAGCATTGCATGAACGGGGATCATGGCGAATGCCACTTCGAAAGTCTTGATGACGGAAAGAGCCCGTCCAAACTTGGCTATGTCCTTCTTGTATTCTGCAACGAGCTTGGAGGGAAAGACGTTAGACCAGAAGTCCTCGCCTTTTCCAAAGCTGATTCTAAGTATTGTTTGAGCGCTGTGCACACGAGAGCATAGCATGATAAGCGTACTGCATGCCAACTTCTGTGGCCTCGAATCCCAGTATCTTGAACATGCGAAGCGTGTTGGCGAAGGCGGGACTGCAGCCCTGGACGCCGTCGTTGATGTAAGTAGCGCCGTATTTGGACGGGTCAATGTCGATGGAGGTCGCCATTCCTCCCGCAACTGATTGCTTGTCGAAGACGGTGACAGTGAACTTGTCTGGGTGCTTGCTAAAGGCGTAGGCTGCGGACATGCCGGACGCGCCGGCACCAACGATACAAATACGCTTAGGAGGAGAAGGGGACATGGTGGGAGTGGTCAAACGAGAGATGGTTGCGCTCGCCAAACATGTCGGGCACCTTTGTATGTTTGATTGTGACGGTGTGCTGGGCAGGTGCAGGAGGCCGCCATCGCCCGCCGCTCCCAATCGGGCCCTCATCCCGTCTACTACGGTCACGTGCACGTGTCATCTCGACCGCTACCAGCAGCGCTAACACCGCGGTCCGCCAATCGTGCCTGTATAACACTGACTTTCTTCAGAGCAAGCGTATGTGGATTCAGCGAGAAGATAAGTACACGCGAACATCCGTTCTCGTGCTTAGACGTCGCCTGTGTGCTTCTCCATCCACGCCCACAGCTTCTTCCCTAGCTGACCATCCTGCGTCTCTTCTCGTGCCGTCCCTCGTCGGGCCCACGGAACCAGATACTGAAGAGCATAAGGATCAGTTTTTTTCCTGCGTCACATACTCACAGATGGGGCTTACACCTCCACCCAATCCTAGGCCTTCTGGTGATGTACCAGCCCACAACTGAGTCAAAGCTCCCATCGATGCCGGATAGAGCAGTGGTGCCTATATTGTCGTTGCAGATAAGACAATAACTCAGAATGCGTCACCACATTGATGACTTACCGTCAGCACTTTCTCAACCGATGACACATGTCGTTGCAGATTTGTCTTCAAATTGCCTGGGTGCAACGAGACTGACACGATGCCCTGGTCTCCATACCTCCGCTGCAGCTCGTTCGAGAAGACTACTGTCGCCTTGGGCATCGCAGGTGCGTCGATCAGCCACATGTAGACCACAGATTGGCTTGCGCCGAACAGAGGGGACTTACGAACTTGCTTTGGAAGTGCAGCTTGTGCGTGCCGAGCTTCTTTCGTTTAGCACTCTCACGCAATGTATCGAAATCAATGCCGGAAACGAAAGCGTGGCCCACAGACGATGTGTTGATCACTCGCGCGTGTCCGTCGGGTGAATGCGACGCGCCAGAGAGCAGCACGGGGATCAACAGTTGCGTCAGATAAAAGTGGCCTGCGCCCGATATCAGCTACTCGTGACCGAACTATCATCCCACGCAGATGGATCACATACCGAGTACGTTCGTGCCGAATTGCAGGTCATAGCCGTCGGCAGTCAGTTGTTCCACAGGAGGGAACATGATCCCTCCACTGTTGAACAACACGTCGAGCTTGCTCTCCTTGCTACACTTTCGTCAGCGCGGCATCCGGCCCACGCGTAGTCATCTATGACTGACCTGAGGAACTCCCGCGCTGCAGCTTTCACCGACTGCAGATCCGCGAGATCCAATCTCAGAAAAATGGCTTCTCTGCCTGTCTCTCTGCAAAGCTCGGCAATCGCGGCCTGAGCCTTCGTCTCATTCCGCGCCGCCATGTAGACCTTGGCGCCATGAGAAAGCAATGCCTGACATATACATATGCTCAGTGTCTGGATAACAGTACGTCAGTTTCGCACACGTACCTTGACCGTCTCCTTCCCAATACCAGTGTTCCCACCCGTGACGATCATCACCTTGCCAGACAGGTTCGGCATATCGGAAACGCCCCACTTAGCCTTGGGGGGTATATGAGGGATAGTGCTGGCACACACATGAGCATACGCCATCGCTCTCCGCAGGCTAGGGGTAGAGTGAAGTGAGTAGCGGAGGAAGATCCAAGATGCGCCGGGGCAAAATGAGAGGGAAGACGCGATGTGGCTACACTCATTCGCACTTCGTGTTGAAGTATCAAGTGAGCGGCGTGGGTCGCAGGAACTCTTAGAGATGGGAGACTGCGGGAAGCGACGCGGCCAGAGAAGCCGATGACAGCCTGATTCATTTTATACGACTGTCTTCATGACCCCGGGCCAACCGACACCGCAAGCGCGTCCAAGAGGCCACGAACCAAGCCTACGGATCCTAGGCTGGAACCGGTCAGTATTCGCTCAGCCAGCAGGGTCAATCGTCGCCGGCACGCATGGTACCCGACAGACTGCTTGCGCTTAGATAGGCGGGGCAGGTGCCATGAGAATCGGTATGTCATTGCTGCGGCCGCGTGCCGGCTTAGTATGAGCGCGTAAAGGCCAGAGAGGTGATGGGTCTTGTTCTGACAGTACGCTACAACGAGGTTTAATTAACCATTCGAAGCGCATTTACGCGTCCATTCGCGGAGGACGTGGCGACAACGATTCAAATGCTCTGGAGCCCACGACAAGACGCGGTCGACCGCCTTCGGCGTCCTCTGGAAATCTTCCATTCCAGGTGTTTGACCGAAAGCTATCAAGACACAGAAACGCACGGACGTTGTGTTTTTATAACCTTGAAGAGGACATGCATCCCAGTCGAGACATGGAACCCTGACGTCCAGGGGTGGTGGGTCGAGTAGAGGACTGCTTGGCCGCTGGAAGACTGTAGGATGACAGATGTGATCAGTCGGTCATGTCCTGAGTCCGCCCGATCGGATAGGCATGATGTTCGGTGCCAGCGGACACAGAAAGGCTGAACGAGTAACGGAAGACGAGGTGGTGGTGAAGTGGTACGTAGAAATTGCTGCCCGGAGCGACGCGGAGTACCGATAGCGCTGAAAGGTCAACGATTTTGATGGATGATCTCCGGGAAACGGAGGATTGTCATTTCGAATTCCTCCTGTACCAACGCCTCCTCATCGTCAGGATATATCATTCTACTTGAACAGGACTATGTGCGTCTTTGTATCTTTGTAGTTATATTGGCCGAAGTATAGCCTACAACGTGCCTTCGGCAAGCCATATCGACTGACAAGCTGTCAGGCCGACTTCCGACATGCACCCTCGCTCAGTCCGGCTCCACGGGTAACTGTACAACATACGACATCCGATCGCGGGGCTCTCCAAACGCTCTCGTGTAGTGTAGTCTTCTGCTGCGCTTAGGCTAGGAATTCCGTGATCTTTTTCGTTATGAAGGCAACATCCGCAGCATTGGCGCCTCCGCCCGCTAGTTCAGAAGAATAATTCAGTTTGCGAGCCAGCGGTACAATGTGGCGTGAATGCGCGTTAGACTTACCCGCGTGTCCCCAAACACTATCGATAACCGCTAGCTCAGCATCTCTCAGCATGGACACTTCGTTCACGCTGTCTTCGGGCTTTAGACGCCGACGGAGTCCAAGGGTGGCAGCCCCAACATGCGTGTACATTTCAGATCAAAGTCATTGGGTCCGGACCGAGCAGAAACCAGCACGGAAAGTGGCACGTATGCCGGACATGCCACAGACGTCCACAAATAAACGTCAGATTCGAGCGCGCAGAGGAAAATCGGTAGATCACGTACACAAAAATAGAGATCCGTTTTGCAAGGCATAATCAGGGCCTTCGCTGTGATAGACCGTAATGCATTCGTGAAATCATCTCCGTTCCGGACTATGGAGATGTCTCCACGCTGCCATGTATCGAGGAGCGTGAGCATGTCGTTTGCGTCCCAATTAGCCACAAATCGCCCCTCCCATCCTTCCTTCAGAAAGGCTTCTAGCGTCGGATACCTACCGGGGGAGTGTTCAGCGATTGAAACTCGGCACGGCAATGGCAACCGGCGAACCGACTGCGCCTGACAAAATCACTCACAGGCCACCCATCTGGTACAGATGGTCACGGAACCACTGTCGCAATATGTCAGATGAGATGGAAGACGATATCGTGATGAACGGGGTAATTCTCACCGCCTGTCCATACGCCCAAGCGCTATACGCTCTGGCGAATGCCCGGACTCCGACCTCGGGCGGAGAAGTGTAGTGTCCATCGTGGAAGTCGCGCGATGCCTTCAGCGCGGCTTTAGGGCCTTCGAGGAAGCTGCTCAGACGTCACGATCGTAATTAATCAACGCTCCCGTTCGCAAGAAATGTCATAACGAGACAGCGATACCATTTGTTATGCGGGCTGGTCCGCGCCGAAGAACAGATAGCTGCAAACCGTTCCACGAAATCAGGGTAAATTGTCGCCCAGTGGTAAGCCTGCGAATATTGGATATATAGCTACACCAACTGACGTGGAACATCGACAGTAATGATGGCACCCACCTGTTGTCCACCCATCGAGAAACCTACGACACAGCGGACTTTCTTGACGCCAAGGTCCTGAAGGACAGCATATTGCGCACGTCTACCAGGTGATTGAGTTGGCCGCCACCGGGGGCACATACCCACACTCACATATTGTCCTCGTACGAGACCGCTGGAAAGTAGGGCCCATTGTAAGGCACGGGCTATGATATAATGTCGCGACTAAGTAGAGGGCTGTAGGACACCAGATCATGCACAGCGAGAATTCACCGTGTTAGAAGGCGACGACGACTGCCAATGCCCTCGACGTCAATTCAAATGTAATCAATAGTACACCAAACAGATATCGTACCTCGCCATTTGAGAATAACGCGAAAGTTACGACGAAGTACTTCCTCGTATCCAGTGCCTTTGAGTATCCTCAGTCATTATATTGTTCACGTGTCGGGCATGTCATGACAGCCCCACCTTATCCTCCCCGACCAGGTACAGCTGACCTAAACAACTACTGTGTAAGTACCGAGAAGCTGAAGGAATGTTGCACTCACTGCCTAGCCCAAGTTTGGCCCCATAGCACGTAGGGAACACGATGCACGGGTTTGACGGTTCTCCGTATGTCTGGTAAGCAGTCACCGCATCGGGTAAGACACCCCCTGCGACAGCGAAGCGACCATGGTGATAGTACTGAATCGTGTTACCCGCCATACGTCCTACAGATGCGAGAGTGCAGCGGGGCGAGGTGATAAAGGGAGGCAGAATATAGGAGAGGGTAAAGAGTGTAAGTACTGTTAACCAGGGGCACCCTTGGAGTCTCACGCTATGTCTGGATAGCTGATCGATCACCTGGTTCACCGCAGCTTCTTCTTCAGGCTGCGTGCGACGCTACCGCTGTGATGAGAGACCGCCTGCGATAGCATTTGTAGACCTGGGAACGTGTCTTGTGCTTGGAGAATGATTTGGAAGGAAGCATTCCCACCGCCGGCAGGGTCGTGCGAGAATACTGGCTGACCTTCGGCCAGCCCACCTCAGCTTGATTCAAGTATGGCAGACCGTTTGAAGAATACATTGTACCAAACGGAGCGTCCGTCCTGTGCGCATTTGGACTCCAAGCCATTGCGTGGAAGGTACACTACAGGTTTTTGTTGGCAGGGCGATAGTCTGCGCTGTACCCAATACAAGCAACCTGAGGGGTCAGGGTTTGATCGAGAGCACCTTGACCTCTGAATCCGCCATGAGTAAAATCTATCAACCGCTGGGATGGGGCGACGTACCGAATATCAAGGTTGAATTGGCAGGGATAGTCTTGTCGCCTTTCTTGCCATATGCCATAGCCGGCGGAATAGTCAATATCCTCTCACCGCCGACCTGCATTCCCGCAACGCCCACGTCCCAACCTGGTTGACCATGTCAGGGTGAGATACCCGCATCTTACCACCACTGAATAACGACGTACCCTTGATAACCTCGCCCCGGCCGAGACGGAATTTGAACTGAGACCTCAATCAGTTTCTGGTGCTAACAGTCGAAAAAAGTGTCTGTTCACTCACAGGTTCGCCTTTGGTGTTCTGGTCGAATACTTTGCCACTCTGCAACTTCCCGATGTACCGCAAGGACACGACGTTACCCGCCTTAGCCTTCGGGCCCGTGCCGACCTTACTGTCGACCACCTGCACACCGCCCTGGATGGTCTTGACCTCCCCAACCTTGTCTTTCTTCTTGTCGCCTTTCTCCTTCTTCTCCTTTTCGTCGGACTTTGTCTTCTCGTCCTCCTTCTTGTCAGACTTCTCGGGCGAAGGAGCAGCCACTGCCTCGCCGTTGGCGTTCTTGAGCTTCTTCTGCTTCTTCTTCTGCGCCTTGGAGGACTTTTCCGAGGGCTCCTCGGTTTCCATAGCGTCCGACTCACGCCGCCGCTTCTTGGACGCTGTAGATGGCTCCTCGTCGACGATCTCCTCGAACCGCCTGCGGATGGAGCTTAGCGACGTTCAGTGGCATCTGCGACTATACATACTCTGAGCCGTCAGTCGGAATGTCCAACTCATTCGGATCGACCTCCACGTCCGAGCTCACGTCGCGCAGGTCAAAGTCATCCTCGGACTCCTCATCGGAAAAGGGGTCCTGGTCCGGAGGGCGCTGGTCTGGAATTGCCGTTCAAAGCTGCGGATCTCATCATAGCCTAGTCAACTCAGAGGCGACTCACCGATATAGTTCCCCGTCAGGTGCACGGTGCTGCGACGCATGAGCTCGAGTGTATATGGACATCATCGGGCGCGCACTCACTTTTTGCCGACAAGCTCGATAATATATTCTGCATCCTCGGTGAGAACAACATCGACTGTCGCTTGCTCAATCTGGCAGGGTTCGTCAGAGAGGGGCCGCGAACGGAAGCAATCTACACACCTTGCCCAAGGTGAGGGAGCACAACACGGTGGTAGTCAACGGGTCACGGTCGTCAGGGCCCAGGGATTTGTCGTCGTCGCGGTCGTCGTCTTCGTCGTCGCTGTCACTAGGGACGCCGGGGGTGCGGTACACGAGCTTCACGGTAGTGCGGCTCTTCTCGTCCTTGATCTCGTCGCCGAGAGCGACGTTGGTGATCCTGAGGTCGGCAGGTGGGTTTATTACTATAGGATCACCGGGAGGAACCTCGAGACTCCTGAAGGTGTGAAAGAAGGCCCATGGGAGGACGGTTATACGCGTGAAACGAGTGAACAAACGAACCAGACGCCAACAGCGATGGCCATTTTGTGTGAATTAATGAGAGGGGAACAGTGTCGGACTGCAGCAAACCTTGAGAGGCGCCCAAGACGCGTCCAAAATTTGAGCCTAACGCCTGACCCCGGGCCGTGACTTCCGGGAGCGTCGCCGCTTGAATCCGCTCCTGTCCTCGGACTCGGAGACAGAGTGCATTGCTCGACCGCGACCAGACACCAGCGACCGATCCTATCATGGTGCGCGTCCTACCGACGACAATCTATACAACGAGAATGCTGATGCCCACGTCCTGCCGCCTTAGTCCAACGTCCTACGACCCTACCTCGCCGCCGTCCGGTCAACCCTCACCGCCGCGCTTACCCTCGAGGACTTCTCATCTCAAGTATGTGTCTTCTGTAACGATGTATATAGCGCGCTGTGTTGATGGTCCGCTAGGTCGTAGAACGTCACAACAAGCCAGAGGTCGAGGTCGCGTGCGTAGATATACATGACACTGATAGTAGTAGTATGCCTAACAGTGGCTGCCGGCAGTGTCTCGAAAGAAGTCCTCCTGAATCCCCTCACCATCTCACGAAATGAGAACGAACGTGTCCTCATAGAACCCTCTGTCAACTCTGTCCGGATAAGCATCAAGATCAAACAGGCGGACGAAATCGAACGGATCCTGTGCCACAAGTTCACCCGTTTCATGATGCAGCGAGCGGAGAGCTTCATCGTCCTCAGGAGGAAACCGGTCAAGGTTCGTGACGTCTTCACTGACATGCATGGCGTTCATAGACGTATGGCTCGCCTTTGCCCAGGGTTACGACATCTCGTTCTTGATCACAAACAACCACACGGATACCATGCTCAAGCACAAGATCGTCGATTTTATCATCCAGTTGCGTACCCCACTACTCGTCCACGTGGGATGCAATTGACTGTTATCCAGGTTCATGGAGGAGGTCGATAAGGAAATCAGCGAGATGAAGTTGAGCCTCAACGCTCGCGCGCGTGTCGTCGCCGAGTCGTACCTATCAGCGGTGAGTTCCGCCTGAATTTTATGCTTGGACCTTATCCTCATCGCGTCGCCTCAGTTCAACGTATAGGACCAGAAGACATTCATGGAATCGCTATTGAGCGGAACGAGTCGTCTGCATGGCCCAGGCGATCGACCCGGTAGTGGTGCGCAGCAGCAACAACGGCATAAGACGTCTACAGGGATCGTGTACAGTACGTTGTAGGGAAGGACAATCTATGTAACATCATAGGCTCTGGGTGGCTGACTCTCCCCACGTCTCGACACTCGAGAGCGGTCGCCGGTGGTGACCGACCCTTAGACAAGGCAAGCCTGGGTGTGATGCGTCCAAAACCCTAATTCCCACCTTGGGCTCTAGCTAATTATGAAGGGGGATCTCGCTATCAGAGAGCTGTCGGCCCTTGCAAGCGTGAACTGAGACTGTCCTGGTACGGATTATGCATGGACATACGGTAAGTAGGCCCACTTGGGCGGGACGGTGGGTGAACAGGCGCTCGAGTGGAATGACGTATAGACGCGGAGAGCACCCAGTACATACATAGCTCCGGTAGTCGTGTCTGCATCCGTTCTCTCCTCTCTCTTCCACCTCCCATGCCAATCAACGTCCGCCTGCTCGCCGTCGCGGCGACCACGTCCCTTGTTCTCTATGGGACTGTCTACTCTGTCGCATACAGCACATACCTCGACACCTCGAACCCGCTCATCACCGCACTCCCCCATCATCTCCACGAGACACATTACTTCGCGTCCAAGCACAACCCGCTCAATGTCTACTTCATAAAGAAGCTCTGGCTATGGACAAGTTCCGCCTTCCTCTTCCACTTCCTCACTAGCCCGGCGCCGGCGCGCAGTCTACGACGCGTCATTCAGTATGCCCTCGCGACCAGTCTCTGGCTCGCGTTCACCGCCTGGTTCTTCGGGCCCCCCGTCCTCGATCGTCTCATCGCTTCTACCGGCGGCGAGTGTGTCCTCCACCTCCCTTCAGGCGCTGCGGTTTCCGTTCCTCACGACTACTGCCACACAAAGTCCACCGTATCGCTAGCCACACATCCTCGTCTCTTTCCCGCCGCGATCCTGCTCCCGGACGGCGAGTGGACGGGGACGCCACGACTGCGCAAAGGCCATGACGTGTCCGGACACATCTTCCTGCTCACGCTCGCGGTCCTCTTCCTCGTGGATCAGCTGCGCTGGTCTTTCGCAAGTCTCCCTGGGACTCGCGCTTGGCCATCCTCGCACAGCGCGGCCGTCGCGTACACCAGCATAGTCGTCGCCGCATCACTGTTCTCCATCTACACCACGAGCGTGTACTTCCATACTCCATTGGAGAAGTTCACTGGCTATGGTGAGTCTGTGTATCACGATACGTATCAATCGCGTTGCTGACCGCTCCAAGTCCTTGGCCTGGCCAGCTTCGCCCTCACGCAACTGCCGTACGCTTCAAGTAATGAGCCCATATCAGCTGGAAAGACGACCTCATAGTATATTATCACTTCTGCCAATGCCTCGTTGTAGGTTAGGAATGCCTCACTGACACCTACGGTTCAAGTCGATGATTCCTTCCACACCGCCGACGCTGAACTCATTGACGGTGATTTCTAACTACTTAGATCACCGGGACATCAGGATTGACATATACTCCCTGCTGTAGCATACTGAGCTGTGACCCGCTGTAATACATTGATGCTTTGCAGAGTTCAGAGTACATCCGGACGTGCACGAGTATAGCATAATAATACATCCAGTTCCTGGGTTTCGACACCGATCTTGGTTCGCCTAGTTGTCCAACCACTCGAGGAAATCGGGCGTGAAGTACGTGAGGATGAGAGTGCAACCTGGACACGAATTAAACAAGACGCACGGCTTCCAGCTAAATGACTGATACGTACCTGCCCTGACGAAGCTCTCCGCGGTCTCGAACGCCATCGTCTTCAGGTCGTATACGCCAGCACGAGCTCCAGCGACGATCATAGCAAACTCGCCGCTTACTTGGTAGCAAGCGAGAGGGTGGTCGGAAGCGAGCTCCTTTGCGTCCTGGATGATATCCAAGTAGGGCAACGCGGGCTTCACCATGATGATGTCCGCGCCCTCGTTCACATCACGTTTCTACCACCCTAATCAATTCCACCATCAGAAAACAACGGGGCATAAGGGGGACTCACGATCGCGCGACGCGCGAGGCCCTTCGCAGTAGGCGGCAGCTGATAGCACTTCCTGTCCCCGAACGCGGGCGCGCTCCCGGCGGCGTCGCGGAACGGGCCGTAGAGCGAGCTCGCGAACTTCGCCGAGTACGCCATGAGCGTGACCTTGTTGCCGTAGCCGTGGTCGATGAGCGCACGCTTGATGGCCTTGATGCGGCCGTCCATCATGTCGCTCGGCGCGACGCAGTGCGCGCCCGCGCGCGCGTACGCCAGCGCGACCTCCGCGATGCGCGCCGCGGACGGCGGCTGGTCGAGGGTGCCATCGGGCCGGAAGAGCCCGCAGTGGCCGTGCGAGGTGTACTCGCAGAGGCACACGTCGCACGCGACGTACAGCTCGGGCCAGAGCGAGCGGATTTTGCGGATCGCGGAGATGACGGGGCCGTTCGGATCGTCGGCGGGGCTGCCGCGCTCGTCCTACGCGTGCGCAGCGCAGTGAGCGCGCTCTTATCAGTAGGGTATGGAGAGGGGGTGCGAGACGGACGCACCTTGTTGCAGTGGATCGGAACGCCGAAGAGGATGACGCTGCGCAGGCCCTTCTGCACGAGAGGCCCGAGGAACTCTTCGAGTTTATTGACGCCCCATCTGCATTGGCCAGGCAAGCTCGCGATTTCAACGCGCGCATCCGGCTCGTCGGTGATGAAGATGGGGTACATGAACATGTTTTTGGTCAGCGTGCGCTGAGCCTGCCACGAACGAGACAGAGGGTGCTGGTACCCGCCCTGGAGAACCGAACTGGCGCGCAGTCCGCTCAGCATATGCGCAGCACTAGAACAACGACAAGGCGACTGACGAGATGTCCATCGTTTCGACTTTGACTGGGGTCCAAGGAGCGGGATGGGTAGGGGGTTTCGAGGAGGCCACGATGTGAGCGCGCGAGAGGACACTATATGCGCTTTTAATGCTGGTGAGAGCGAGACGTGTCCAGGGGGATGGCGGTGAGAGGAGAGGACTTTTGACTCTGGCGAGAGCTGTCTGCGAACGAGCGACGCTGACTGGCGACGGGCATACTTTGCCACGCCTCCCGCTGTCCCTGCGCGCTTCGGCCCCGGGACTCTCAGCAGCCCTCAGCTCCGTCTCCCACCACCACCTCCTGCAGACGTGGCTTTCCCTCGTCCACAGTGTATCTTCCCATATACTGCATTATAACCCATGTACAAGCTTGCCTGTATCGGATTCAGCACTGTGTATCTCCAGATGCATCCTCATGCAAGGTCGGCGCTCCGAGCCCAAGACGGCTCGGACAGGCTCAGACGCAACGTGTCGTCCGTTGGCGAGTAACCTTCCATCTATTCAATCCTTTTTTACTGGAGATACTCCTGTCAGCCTTGAGCTACATGTGTCGCAACCCAGTATCAAGGCTAAGGGAGTACCGTTTGAATGTATCTCAGTGCAAGTACCGACCAGCGCGATCCTCCTTCATTTGACCCGGAAGCACTCCACTGCTGAGCGCTGAGCCCCAGTGAGAACGTGCGTGATTTCAGTCGATTTCAGCTGATTTGAACTGTATGTACTCGGGACCCCCGATTGAATACGAAACCTTAGACTATGCCCCGAACTTCTCTGTATTCCGCTGTAAACTCAGACAAGGACATACAAACCTCGTCGTATAGCGTCGATAGCGTCGGTTGCCAGTCGGTCGGGTTCGGGTGTGGTCGGATTCAGTTGGGGCAGGTCGTTTTGGTGCGAATCACACCATTGGATGATCCCGGCAACCACTCGTATTCATTTGGATACAATCGTAGGGCTACACGTTATAATACAGGTACACTCAGGCGTGACAGAATACACTTGATAACAGTCGGTTGCAGCGGGATGCCACCGGGTGCGTGCGATCACGGTCGGGCCCGTGCACGTTCGCAATGGGTGTGGCGTGGAGCTGTGCGCAGGGCGACGCTGGTTGCTGGCGACGATATGACCATGGTATTAGCGACTCGAATGTAAGATGTGAGTAGGAAACGTACGGTATGCTATGCTGCGAGTATGCGTGCGGCCTTCTGAGGGGGACATTGAGGTGAGTACATGGGCACCGGGCACCACTGATGAGCACGATATACCTTGCGCTGGTCCGGAGTCATCGCTTTATAATGGGCTTCGAATTCGGCCTCCGTGCCTGCATTCTTCACGAACCAGTTGCGTGCATAGGCCCACCTGCCCATGAGTGAGAGGGTTATTGGTCGGATTCATGTATACAGACGGCGTACTTACTTAGCTCCGCGCAAATCCGCGGGAGGAGGCCACTGAGGTGCCTTGCGTGGGGCCCGCGGTTTTTTCGAGGACGTCGACTTGGCTACTGCCTCGGGCGCGTGCGAGGACGTCATCGTAGTCCCGAGCGGCGGCTCCGTGGGTGTTCCGGCGGGACCTTGTGTGGTTGTCGCCGGTGCGACCGAGACTTCAGGGGGGGGGAGCGAGGACAGGGAGGGTAGGTTGAGCTGTAGCAAAGGGACCTGTAGTGTGGGAGACGCGGATGACTCCCCGTCGCCTACAGCCGGGGGTTCGCCTGTATGCGCATGGGTCAGGGTGGGGTCGAGGGGATCCACTGCAGGGAGAGTGGACGTGGAGGGAGAAGCGAGAGATGGGGATGGGTCACTGGTAGCTGGCCCGCTGGGAGCGGTGATTGAAGGTGTGGGGGCCATGAGATCGTGGACGCGCGGACTGAGTTGCAAAGCATTGCTACGTGGGCACACGGAAATGAGCTTCGGAAGACACCATGTGGGTGAGAGGACTCACGTATTTGTCGATATCTATCAGGCTCCCCATCATGAGATTTCGGAGGGTAAACGAGTATGAATGAAATCTACGTACCACAGAGAGCAGGCTGACTGATGCGCGTCCCTTGCCTTTGTCCGGTCGAGTGGGAGCTGCGAAGGAGCGTGAGATGATGAAGTTAGCAAGTGCACATCAGTCGTTCGAGTACAACGTAATTGGGGGATGGGACATACAAATGAGTTGCGGGTCGTTTTCTGCGTCCTTCCGTGGCTGCTTGGCAGGTCTTGGACGCACGAGGGTCGTGTCGGAGGGACGTTTGGGGGGGGGATCGATGGCAGGTGTCGATGGAGCCATGGCAGGGAGTAGGTCGGCAGCCTCCTCGTCGTCGTCGGATGCGCTCTTGATGGTGTAAGGCGCGTTGTTGATGTTGATGTTCTGAGGGTGTATATTGTCCCATTTGCGCGTGACCGACTCGTAGTAGGAGACCGTCATAAACAGTTGCCCCTTGGCGTTGTTGTGACAGAGCTGGAACAAAGGAAATTTTTTGCGAAGAGCGCTGTAAAACAATTCCTGTAACCAGAGGTCAGCGTCGCCCCATTTTCGTGGCATCTTATACTTGGTTGAGAAGGCGAGGTTGATCAACGTCCGTGCAAACTTGCGGGCGTCGTTGACGTAGTCGCCAGACGCTGGAGAGCCGTCGATATGCTCTAGATAGAGAGCGGTGTGATTTTCGCCCTGGGCCGACTTCTTCTTGCCTCGGATGGGTTCGTCGCCGATGCGGGTCGTTTTTTTGTTCTCGCGATTGTACTCGTGCCATTCTCTGATAGTGTAGAATTTGACCTGTTCAGTAGCGGTTAACATATAATCGAACACGAGCGTGAGAGGTATCACACCTTCTTGAAGTCCTGTCGGTGCCGTATGCAATCGAAACCAGGCTTTTCTTCCTCCCGGAGGGACTCTGTAGGTTTGACGCTCTCCATGACCACACGACTGAGTTCGCCTACCGTGTGCATGAGTACATTGCTAGATTAGCAGTGCGTTACATACCGCGACCATCCTCGGGTTCTCCGGACACCCTGAGGCGCTCCAATTCATGTCTGCGGGAGGTCCAGTGGTCAGTACATTACGCAACGACCATCTTGCATAACCGTGCGGAGATGCTGGAGGGGCGACTGTCTGATATATCAAGTAGGGCCAGTAGCGATGCCCCGCTGCGAGCGTGGATGCGAATCTGCTTCGAGTGGCTCGGGGGCTCACCTGAGGACGTCTACCACCGAGCGGAGTTCGCCGAATTGATGTCTATGCCGAAGACGTCAATTTGCGTCAGATCCTATTCGGTGACACCTGGAATGCAGATGTACCGCAAGTCGAGATTCTCTTGTTCAACTCGTTGTAGTCGAACCCCCATTTCGATGAATGGGACTGAAATGTGCGACGAGCCAGGGGCCAGTTGGTTATGCGGGGCGCCCTGATAGGAGGTGAGTATATGCATGGTAAATGTCCCAAAAATTACATGCGAAGCTCGATATCGATCCAACATATTGATTTTCTTGCTCGTGGTTTCGAATGGGACCCTATTTCCGCCGTGAGATTACCGATCGCGTTTTCGAGGGGCCACTGGGAGTGCAGCCAAGCGGGGCCGACACGAACATTTTCTGGCATGAGGTGGACTAGGCCATGCAGAGCCTGGCGGCAGAAATGAAGGCGATCCGCACGACGAGTGTAATACATTTCCTCAAATTCCTCGACGTACTCGACCAAGAGAGAATGAGCAGGGGGTCGCAACTTGATGCGCGTCTTCAGCAGGAGCGAGACACGAGCGCCGGCAACTAACTTGCAGAAGTGGCCGTAATACTTCGGTTTTTGGACCGCCCATAGAAACCCAGGTAGCATACCATAGACATAGTACATAAACTCCCAAGCCTTATACCCACTGGAGATCTTCTCAGCGGGGTTTCGAGGAGGGCGATCGAAAGACCCAGGGAGGTAGAGAGATGCGTCGCCAACCAGTTTTCCGTGCGCCTGCCAAGTGTCGTTGTCAAGGAGACAAGCCCAATCCCAGTCAGCCACAGAATCAGAATCAGATCGTTTGAAGTTGCCGCGCAGAAGTCCAATAACAAGCTCAGTCACATTCAGCGTCAGCAAGTGCATAATGTCGGCAGGGAAACTCCCCGGAAAACCGATGTTGACCGGAAGACCCATGAAAATCGAAGGCTTCGCGATGCCTGTCTCGAGGCGCTTAGAGTAATACTGAGACTGGGTTTGACAAACCAGGACCTCTCCGAGTTGACGCCAGTACCGCTCCGAGCCAGTCTCGGCAGTAGGAGGGGGGTAACGAAGCAAGTAGTCCGGATGTTGGCTCCCGCGTACTCGCGCGTAGCTCGGATCGGCCGGTTTGAGCATGGCTGGATAGTAGTGCCCACCGCCGCCAGGTTTTCGCCGTCCCTTCAGAGGGCAAAAGAGACGGCAACCATGTGCCCCAGAGTGTCCTACCAGACCATTTATGTACGCCATTGCAGGTGTGTCGCCAGTAGCAAAGAAAATGATGGGGCGCGAGTGCCTGATCTTCTGCGCATGAGAATCCCAGATCTTGAGGGGGGTGTTCTGAAGCGCCGCGACGTGATAGAGACCCGGAAACAGGAAAGAGTCGACAATCTTCGGTTTTTTCGGCCCAGGTATAATTGCCCCCGGAAGTACGTAGCGCTTCTTGTAGCGCAGGTCAGGAGCGAGATCGAAGAGAACCCAGATATAGATCCAGCAGTCAGATTGCTTCGACTCATAAAGCTGGGCGCCGTCCAGAGAGAACATTAGTACCAGATCATCCTCTCGGATAGTCCCAGCCTCGACATGTTTCAGGTACTCCTCCGCAAAGAAGACATCTTCGGCGACCTCGACCATCTTGTGGGCATTTGCCATACCCAACAAACGCTCCATTACCTGCTCGCGATATCGCATACGTTGCGCGCAATGTCGCGATCGGTAGAGCGCCTGCACTTGTGGACCCAGGGGGTTGGTCTGGAACGTCCGACGGGCCACGCGTTTGTTGCCGCGCATCTCGTAGCGCGGCTCATTACAGTCCGGGTGAGGACAGTGATCCAGAGCGGCGAAGGGGCCTGTGTATGCTGCGCAGGTCTCCGGGCACATGTCGGTCACGATGGGTACCACACCGCTGAGGTCCTCCACGATTTTTTGGATGGCCTCGTAGGTCGGCAGAGAGAGGTCTGGCATGAATTGCATGACCGAGTCCCGATTATCCCGGTACGCCTGCTCCGAGTGACCGTTGATGATGAACTGTCTGAGGGCCAGACGGAGCGCATGGTTTTCGGGTGCATTGAGGTCTGGTAAGTCTCCATCCTGGCCCGGATTACGCATGCGTTCGATTACCCCTGGATCGAGTCCGGAATCCTCGAGAGACGCATTTTTGAGGGCCTTGACAAATTCCATCGCGTGTTGAAGCTCCTCTAGCCTCGGCTTGGGCAGCGAGCCCGTCTCGTCATGAATGCCGAATTCTGGGTCGTCGATGGGGGCGTCCTCCGTGCCCTCCGGACGAACAGGGGAGGAAGGACGGGGGCTCGCTTCGGGTCGCGGCGAGAACGGGGGCTCCAAGTCCTCGCCCTGGAACGGCAACGCATCTTCACTGATGTCCTATATTGTCTCTCTGTCAGCGTCCTGGCAGAGAACTGAACGCCCCAAGACCTGGATGTGCGAAAGCTCTCCTCTAAAAGGAGCTCGAATCCTTCACCGAGACGTCTCCGACGATCATCGAGGCGCTCATTCGCCCGCATCTCGCATGCGCACATCATATTGACATGGTTCGAAGTTCGCACTTCGGCACTTGCGCGACTAAATGTGCACTTACGACGTCTGGCTCCTGTGGACGTGCGCGTGTGTTTGTTTCAGATATGGCTATACCGCTCCCAGAAGAGGAGGAGGCCACTCCCTCTCCCTGTGGCACCTAGAAAACCAACTTGGTCATTCTTTCATTGCGCAGATGACGATATATAATTGGCTACCTGGTTTTGGTTCCTGCGGCGCTTGGTAGGACGAGCCTTCGCCGAAGACGATTCAGTATCCCCTGGGCCGTCGGGCGCGAGGGCTCGTTGCAGAGCCTGTTGCAAAGGCTTGTTGCGATTGTCTTTGTGGCTGTAATACGTAGCCCGCGACACTCGGTGGTTCCGGCCCCTGCAGTGCGGTAGACAGTCACAGTAGTATTTTCTTTCCTTGGGCGGCATATTGAAGCGGTCCCGAGCCTTAATGCAAGACGGGTGCCAGTATAATGGTATGCAGCGTGCAGGACTCAATAGGGCGAGAGAGAGAACCGACAGAGGGCGAGAGAGAAAACCGACCGAGGGCGAGAGAGAAAACCGACAGCGAGCAGAGATCTTACCAGGCTGAGAGACTCCGACACGCCAGACACAATGCTAAGCAACTAAATCTATTGTATAGCTAAAGACACCTAAGCTAGGCTATAGGACAGCGCACCAGGTTAGAGACACGCACGTCCGATCGAGCCACAAGAGAGCTAGTTAGAGACGTCACTTGAGCGCTTAACGCAGCTCGTCCAATCTAAATCAGCACAGCACGAGCGCATACAGCCGAACACGACTTCTCCCGTCCTATATCGACTGAAATCACGCACGTTCTCACTGGGGCTGAGCGCTGAACGGATCACCTGCTCCTCGCACCAAATGTCACATGGCGATGCTCGTAGTCGGCTCTCAGGCCCTCGAAACCTCAGACACCCTTCTTCTTGTGCCAGCCGATGGACAAGCACTGCATCCCCGACTCCAAATCGGCACTATGGGAAGTCGAGCACAGTAGACACCCGAGCGCGCCAGCTCGCGTTACATACTTATAAGACATCGCGCCCCTGTGGTCCTCCTCCCAACCTTCCGAAATCATGGCCTCAAATACACGTGAGTCTGTCTAGTGAGCCTCCATGACTCAGATCTTAACTCATACGCCCTCTGCGTACAGCTCGAGTAATACTTCCCGACACGACAGCAATGACTGAAGAGCCTAGTCACATGCCACCGTCGCGCTCTCCAACCGCTCGCCTATTTGGCGCTGGCAAGGGCCTCCTCGCTGTCCCTCCTACTGCCAACCATGGACCGCCTGTGTACGTTCCTGTTTTGTCAACATCACCCATCCAGAACAATGGTGCATATATGTCGCGGAAGTGTACGCCCACCATAAGACCGTTCGCGCTGTAAACCTTCTCACAGCATGATCAGGGACCCAGGAAGACCAGAACAACTCTGATGAAAAGGAGCGGAGGAAAGCCATGAACGAGCTTGTTGCGTCCTGGATGGATCGTCTACAGCTGATCAGTGTCATCGTGTGTTTTATCATCTTTGTGACAGTCTAGTTCATGAGCTGACTGGGTGTCTAAGACGACATTCTTTGCTGCGATGGAAGCGGAACTACTAGGTACAACAGCACCAGACCCGGGCGACAATGCAAGCGAACCCGTCGTCAGCCAGCTTGCAAATGCCACGCTCACCGGGGCACTGGTCATGCACGTCTTCGCCGCCATCCTCGCCTTCCTCGCCGCCTTCTTCCTTATCCGGTTCAAGCTCACCGCCGCCGTACGTGAAGAGCACAAGGTCGAGTCTGGACTCGCGTCTGGGGCCGCGAGTGGAGCGGGAGTTTGCGTCGGGAAAGGCGCCGAGCCAGCGTCGGGGTCTCGTAACAGCACGACGAGTAGCGACCCACCGATATGGTCGTCGAACCCGCATCTCGAGCAAGTAGGCCCATTTCGCCGCGGACAGCCACCGACTCACCTACTGGACCATTGTCACTCGCTGTGTATGTGGCTATCTGCGGTCGGCTTTGTGCTCGCTCTCGTTGGCGTGCTCGCGTTTGCCTGGTCCAGGCTGGCGCTGAGCGGAGGCGTCTTTGCGTCAGTGTGCATGGCTGTGTGTCTTTCCACCGGCGTGGCTGCAATCTTCTGGCCGGCATCATCTGCTCACGGTTGAGGGGCCTTCTATACTTCTTCTCCGCATAATGCCTATACGATATCCCATGAATAGCTCTAAAACTGAGTCTCGGTCTGCATATACCCTATCAATCATATAACCTAATAAGGATGCTACCCTCGTTCTCTGCACATAATTCTACGACCCACACGTTGCCCAAATGAACCCTTCCCACTCCAGCCTCGTACTCTTGTGACAATGTGTCGATGGAGTCTACATGTACTAATGACTCACATACTTCCTTTATCACTCCATTTTTGACTCCAGGCGAGTAAACCTTCCCCTACGAGGCCAAGAAACAGCGTCTTAGAGGAGGAAATGGGAAACGCCAGACCTTGGCGATGGATCTCACGTGAGCCTTCATCCGTTCACACAGTTTACTCAACAAATTCTTCGGACCAATAGTGAGCATATAGCAAGACGCGCTTCGGGGAACATACACCTGTAACCTAATTCCACAAATATACCTCCCCTATTCTTCACAGCTGCGGCTACAACAAATCTCCTTCATCCTACAAGACATCAAGCAGACGTCTCCACAAACCCAACTAGTTGTAGTTGTAGGTGACGGGGGAGATGACTCCCAAACCGGTATTAGCGAGCTGCTCGAAAGCGCCTTCAGACAGGTCGATATGGCCGACGGCACAGCTGGGGCACAGGTCAGCGACGGTCACTTCGACGGATCTGCCCTGGTCTGTGAAGCAGGTCAGCGAAGGTCCTCATTCAGGGAGCTGCAATATGTGCGCACATTGCACGCTCATGCTACGGAAGCAGTTTGCACCCGAGGCGTACTCGGAAGGGCTGAGCGCCACGACGAAGTCGCTGTTCTGGAGTTGGCGACCACAGGCACCGTATCCGCCGGCAGGCAGGTAATAAGTAGCTACAAACCGCCATCGTCCATGTCAGATGCGTTGGCAATGTCAAGGGTTTGAATATACAGACCTTCGCCGGTGGTAGCATAGCCTTTGCACACGAACAGAGCGACGGCGATGGCAGCAGGGACAAGCTTGGTGAAGGAGAACATCGTGGCAGTTGGAATGTTCAGGGAAGAGCTGACTGTTGCGAGTTGGGTAGGGTCGGTATGTGGAATGAGCTTCTGACAGTCTGCAAAATGCATAGACGGTTCTTTATACCTCAAGTGGGCGACTACCCTACGCCGTCGGACCCGCTTTAGGCTCCCCGAAACGGAACGACGTCGACATGCGGACGGACCTAGCCAGCACGAGCGGCGTATTCGGGCCAAGATCGAGAGCCCTGTCGGCGCATAGACGCGTTTGCCACTAGGAACCATCGCGAAGGCATGTGTACGTCGCCTATTAGACCAACAGCGGTCGGTACTGGTCGGGGCTAGCATTAGGTCGACCTAGCAACAACTGAATCAGGGTAGTCTCTATCATAGCCAACATATCCACCTACCAATCGACTTCTGACAATTTATCCTTCTGACATTTTCTTCGGATTACTCGACGATGTTCTCTCGGCGAGGAAGCGTCTATGGTCCAAAAGGTGTGCATTCTGAGCTAAGGCTAACGGTGTATTGCCACGAATGTGGTGCCAAGACGCAGTCAGTATACTTGACATGCGCGCCCCGATGCCTACGGTCCTCCCTCAGATTAGGCGAGTGGTCTGGACATAATATGCACCTTCGCATGTACCAGATCTCGGAGCAATGTAGGAGGCCCAGAGTGACACCCAGATTCTGATACTGTACTCGGTTGCCTCGACACGACACCTGACGTGATGTCATCTACGGCCCGAATTGCACTCCTGTCCAAAACTTGCTCACTGTGTGTGGTCATGAACGAAGCGAGCTGCAAGCAACAATGATCCAGCGCCCCTTCTGGGACCATAATGCAGCGCGCAAGTGATGCGCCCCTCGGCCGGAGGCATGCATCGGCGTTACGAAAGAGCGTCTTCCTATGCGCGGCCGAGAGGAGGCTAGAAATCAGTCAGTGGTACGAGTCTGCACAACACTCTGGGCGGCCGTTATCCTCAACGTTGAGCGCAGACGTGGTCAAGGGAGGCTGCAACCAGCCAGGGCTGAATATTCCAAATGTTAGCGCCATACCTTAGTTCACACGCGGTGACTAGAATGGTACCCACACCGCGAATCAAGACCCAGCTCGTTAGGCTGAGGTCGATGCTGCCCAGCTCGAGGCGATTGAGTCCAGGCGCTGTATCCATGCCATATTGCGCAAACCCGAAGTTGCCCGGCGGTACCCCTTTGGTGCGCCCGTGCATACGCCGCGGCCATCCCACGAACAAGGCCTCCTGCAGACGGCACCACGCGGTCCATGTAAGCGGATACAGCTTGTGTCCTCAAGCGCCTCCGATATGCGACGTCGGATCTGTTCTGACTCTGAGAAAGGTGCCGCTATGTAGGAGGGGCGCTGTAGGTAATTCCTAATGCAGTGCCGTTGTCATATGTACGAGCGGTGGCAATCACGAGTATCGTCACATTCGTACGAGGGTCGAGCACAAAGCCACGGATATCGTACCATGGATAGCCCTGGTTGACTCTAGGAACCCAAGCACATCAGTGAACGTCACAAGGCATTATCAGCAGACCTTCTACTTCAAATTGTATCAATGCAGTCACCTTCGTGTGCATCTCCTGCTTAAACCTGAACAGTCTACTAAGGCTGGGAGCTATGTATCCAGAATGTTCTCTGTCATGATCGCAGAGCGCACAGTCACACATTTTCTCGAGTCGTCAAGTTACGGTGGCAATGTCTGTCATTTGACATATATTGGGTCTCCAGATGTGTGCGAAGGCTTGAGCGACAAGTCTGCACGTTCGCAACCCAAGACTGCTAGAGGTCATTAGTTGGCGGCATTGCGAAAAAAAAGGCTCCGATCAGCTAGGCGGTTCAGCCTTTCACAACAGTCATGATGCTTTGTGCCTGGGGGTTATAGTAGTAAAATCTGAAGAAATCCATTGCGGTATATCAGCACGAGCCAACCAAAGCGCAAGTCGAAGCACTCATTTCGCACCTCTCAGAGCCTCCCGTCGAGGGTATCTCGGAGTGTCACAGCTAAGCAAAATCCAACGAGGTTTGAGCCACACGACGCTCATGGCGAGTCGTGGCTCTGGCGAATATCTGGTTTCCAAAGAGGATCGATGCTGGGGTGGCGTCAAGAACAGCCGAGTGGACCGACGGCATTCCAGCTCAGTCCGTACTCAACTTGGGTGCGGATGAGAACGATGCGGTGTCATGAAGCAGTTGAACATGCAATACACATGAACGGGAGAGTGGTTGAGTTTCGAATTCGAACGAGATCGAACGAGAAAGGGATCAACGGGAAGAGCGGCCCGATCTTACATAAGCATTCTGGGGTAATGTAAAGCCGAGATGATCATTCTCAACGTCTCGCAGTCGCTGGCCGGTTTGAAGGCGTTTCATCCCAACCTTCTGGGCGGATCTTGACGCGGACGTCCAGACCGTATGGTATGAAGGCTCTGTTGGTCGCTCTTGACTACTGTGTCTAAGTGTAAGTACAATGACTCGGAATCTCCTTGGGCCAATCACTACTCTGGGCTGTTTCCGGCACCGGACCGGAGACATCAGGATGCACATTCTGCAGTCAGCTGCAGCAATCTCCTTCTCTCGCTCGTACTGTTGCGCTCTACCTCGCCCTGCGCCTCATAGAAAAATGGGAAAGAACAAGAAATCCTCCGTCCCGCCAGAAGAACACCTCCTACTCCCGCAACACCCTGGACGCCCGAACCCTGCAAGTGCGCCCATCGTAGACACGCACACCCATCTCCTCTCCACCTACTCCTTCTACCGCAGCAAGTACAAGGCGGGCAAGTATGAAACGGTTTATGAACTAGTGCGCGCGTTGTACGAAGGGCGTGGCGTAGAGGCGATTGTGGATGTGTACTGCGAAGCTACAGAAGACAATACTTGGCAAGAAGTGGCCGATTCCGCTCTGACGGAGGAGGATAGACGAGAGAAGTGGGGCGGCTTAGAGTATTGGTTCGTGATGGGTACGTAGTCATGCCATATGTCGCAGTCGGCTGCCAATCGACTCAACGACACACGCGCTCCATATGTAGGCGTTCATCCGTAAGCTATCCCAAACCATACCATGGTATGTAGACGGAGTGCTAACCATTCTCAGGCATGAAGCGAAGGATTACACAGATGCGATCGAGCGCAAAATGTATGTCGTACCGTGGGATTGTCCCCTATGCCAATGTGACCCAACCACGCCACAGAATAGAGGCTATGTCGCATCCCCGGTGTGTCGGATGGGGCGAAATGGGTCTAGATTACCATTACGATAACTCTCCGCGCGAAGTGCAACAAAATGTATTCATCCGACAACTTAAGCACGCCGTCCGGCTGGGGAAGCCTCTTACGATACACACTCGAGAGGCTGAAGAAGACTCCGAGCGGATCCTCAAGGAACATGTCCCGAAAGACCATCGGGTGCGTTTGACACTCCCATTTCGCCTACCTTGTAGCGCGATGCCTGACAGTATTTGGCGAATAGATACATATACACTGTTACACCGACTCGCCAGAATGGGCCGCTCGCATGCTCGAGCATTTTCCCAACCTATACATCGGAATCACAGGTCCGTAGAGCTTTCCACTGTCCTGGTTCACCACCACAAAACATGATCCATGATATCGGACATAGGCGTCATCACGTACTCGACAAATGTCAACACCTCCGAGGTCATCCGCCGAATGGCTGCTTCGTCAGGTGCAGAGACGCCCCTCCGCATCCTCCTCGAGACAGACGCTCCCTTCATGACCCCTTCAAACATCTACGACTCGCTCAAGGGTCTGAAGGGCCGCTTGCCGCACTCGCACTCCGCCATGATCCCTTGGACTGCTGAGTTTGTAGCCGGCGTGGCCGACGAAGCGGCTCCGGAGGGTGCAGGTTGGGACACATTGAAAGTTATGCGCGAGAGCAGAGATAATGCCAAGAGAATGTATGGCGTTTAGAGTTTTCTGTGCGTTAGCCGCGGCATCTTTGTTGTGGCGTCAGTGACATAGATGTATCAAGTTTCTCCGGCATGCTCTGACAAACGTGTGCTTTCTTGCTGGTACCATGTGAGTCTCGGCCTATGCTGCAGGTGCCTAGCGTGGTGTGAATAATTCACGACCAGAGCTACGCCTCTCGAGCTAGAGCTAGTGGGTCTGGACGCCATATGCGCCTCAACACATCGGACTTGATGCACTGCCGTGCGCCCCTTTTCAGTCTTCCGGGTGTTCTGGCGCGTTTCGTTCCTTGTTCATCATTTGCATTCTATACTTTCTGACAAAGACGGCTATGCACATGGCTACCACTACTCGGTCCACCTCGTGCGCTGTCGCCGACGGAGCGCAGCGGGGAGCCGTGAAGACAAGACTAGTCTCTTTAGTTACCGCCGGTCCAACTGCGAGGGAATGGCGTCAGAGCACTAGAAGCGCTAGATTTAGACAGATAGGAACGCACACGGCGGGTCCAGGGATGGGGTAAGGGGCGCTGGCGTTGTTGTAGACATCAAATACGATTCCGGGGCTGCAGGTGTGGTTCGTTTCAGCGTCACTGCACTTCGTAGCGGCTCATTGGGCTTACGTGTCGGCCGTGTATGCGCCTGGGAAGGATACAAGACCCGAAGTCGGGAACGCAGCACCAGAGCCGGTGACCTCGATCTGGATGCAGGACGGGTAAACCTGCGCGCCGGGGTACACGGAGGCAGCGTGCAAGGCGATGCTACACATGTCCAGGCATCAGATACCAGACTACGATGTGAAATAGAGAGCCCCTACATCTCGTGTCGAACAATGTACTGGCCAGCCTTGAGCTTGGATGGGATTGTAAAGGTGTAAATAGAGTCCGACGCCGTCAGCAGGTCGGTCGCCGCCCACTTCCCATCAGAGGTCTTGCCCGCCTCCGCAATCTTGAACCACACCGCGCTAAAGGAGTGGCGTCAACGTGAGCGTGCACGATGTCACGGTATGTAGACTCACTCAGTGCCCGGCAGCCACTTGGTAATGTCGCTTGGCGCCTCGGCGAGGTACGTGATCATAGGGCCTACATGTCTAGGGCATAATTGTCGTCAAATAATGAGAACGATGAGTGAAGGTGATAATCTCACGATGCAGGCCAGGTCGTCCAGTTCAGTGCGACCTGAGATCCCGCTGCGACGGTGGCATAGATGGGCGCAGGCTGAGTGCCCACAACACCTCCATCCGAATATCCATTACACTGGACGCTAGAATCAGAGATGTTCATCAGCAACGCCCAGCAGAGAGATAAGGGAAGTCATCACTCGATGAGAGAAAGGTCGGTGACGGGTCCTAGTAGGCCGCAAAGGTTCAGCGATGCACATCTACATGGAGTATGCCAATAGTAGCACGTACCATTGCCAGGTATGGCACGGATAATCCTTTCGGGGGGCGGGTTGTAGTACGGATCAGAGAACGGTAGGTATCCAGTGTAATGAGTGCTGCCAATGACAACGTCCTGGACGTAGCCGTGTGCCTCAACAGACGTGGCTGCAAGGGCAGCGAGGACGAAAGCCGAGATGATCGCAAACATGGCTGTTGAGCTGCTGTGAGCACAATTGGCTTGATGTCCGATCCTCCCCCTCCCGCTCTTTTATACCTGAGACAAGGACTGGTGTGCTGCAGGCCGATTGATTCTCAGAGTTGGGATCACGGTCCGGTGGTGCATATGGTGCGAATGCACGACCACCGTCATAACCTGTCAACATAAAGTCTAATCATCACGTTCGACTACCAGGGGATATCCGCATAGTGAGTACTGACCCTTTCCGCGGGAGTCTCGGGGGTTCTTCGTCGGTTCCGAGCGTCATGGAGACAGAGCAAAGTGCGGGCTCTAGTGAATTCTGCCGCAGGCTTCGCAACACGCCTATGCAAGGACGTAACAAATAATCCCCCATTGCTAGGCTATATGGGTCCGTTATAATACTGCTCGAAAGTTTGGTAGCTTAGGGCCGGTAACACCACCTTAGATCATGGCCACTGCTTACAGCATAGCGAAGTTAAGTCATAAGTCAGCATCACCATGGTTGTCGAGCGAGCTTCACGAATAACTACTCACAATAATAGCGTCGCTGGACAGTGCATGTACACCTCAATGCATTGATACTGTTGGCGGGAAAAGTAGAGGACGTACCTAGGAAACATCTCGCCTAAACTAGCCGATTGCAAGTTCATATGACATTCCTCATGACCGGGACGGCAACGGGTATAGTCGTGGCCGGATAATTACTGAGTCTCACCTTGATTCACGGTGACGACACTTAGCTAGACGTCCAGGGAGCTTTGGCTGAGCGTACAACGTGCAACGGGCACTGCAGTTTTCGAGCGCTTCCTGTATACTTCAGATCACGATCGGCGGGTTCGTAGATTGGAATCTTACCTGCACTACTGGCTCTGGCTTTCCACTACGGCTAGCTCGAGCTTTCCACCAATAGTCGCGACCGCCGAGCGTGCACACAACGACATTACGCAACATACACTCTGACGAATCTTCCATGTCAAAACTGGAGCAAGGGCTTGTGGGGGCCGCGGGCCAGCAAGCTTTCTCCGCAACAAGTTGAGCCTACCGCGCGCGTATCGACTTGGTGCTGGCAAAATTGATCAGAGGGATACTATACCGAACGTTTGCCTTGGACATGCTCAAGACTGGGATTCAGCATGATTGGCAAGCGCAGCCGTGATGGTACGTGTTGTTGCTACCGCGAGACATTTCCAGTAGGCACGCCGCGTCGCATTTCAATCGGTATCGTCTGTCATAACACCGTTGCGTGCCATGCGAGGCCTAGAATGCAGCACTAGCACCTGCTCAAGAGCTCGGTGGCTTTCTTTGCGCGCTACTCCAGGCGGTCCGTCTAAGCGGACCTCGGCAGTTTTTCGAAATCGCTTTGAGGTGACGGTCAACGCCCACTAACACCCACAGCCCATCTAGTTCGAGCAAGGCGGAGAAGGGCCGCTTCCTGACACCGATCGGACGAGATGATCTTGTGGATATTCTGCGTCCTCCTCCCATTCAATCCCGGCTCCTATGCTAGTCTACAGAGCGTCGGCGGCGTCGTACCGACCCCAAGTGCCCATGCAGTTGCTCGGCGCATCATGAGAATCCGAAATCGCGAGGTCGAGCGGTTGCTCATGATCATGACTAGCATCTGGAAAGGTGCGCCTCGGGTCAAATCACACATCCAAAACAGTATTGGAATTGACTTCGACTTGGACCAGGAGGCCTCTTGCTCCGGTGCGTCGCTGGGTCAGCGCACGGTATAGCCGCTCTTTGTCTGCATGTCGGCCACCATATGAATTCTTCAGGAAACATATATTTGCAGCGAGAGTCGCCGATCATTGTATAAAGCCCTGCAGGTCATCTCGGTGGAACGTCAGGATCACAGTCCTACCCAGCACTTCCACAGCAGCAGCTTGGCTTACGTCTTACGCACTTCTACACCACTTCCTCCGACATGTCTTTCAAAGCCCTCATTGTTGCCGCCGTCTCCGCTGCTTTCTTCGGCAGTATTCAGGTCTATGCCGCCCCCGCCTCCGACAGTGCCCAGACTTACTACGGTGATGGTGAGCCCCTCGCCGTCCTTTGCACGTTCGGTGTCGCTGATTCCTGCTCACCTCTCCAGCTACCTCTTATTATCCCGACGGTGGCCTTGGAGCTTGCGGAGCTCCCAGCCAGAACACTGACCTCGTCGTCGCCCTGAGCGCCGACCAATACGATGGAGGTGCTAACTGCTGGCGCCACATTGGAGTCCACTGTAAGCAAAATGTGCCTTATGTTGAGATAGTATCTAATGCCAGCTTTTTCCAGACCAGGGCCACTTTGTCGATGCGACCGTAGTGGACCTTTGCCCGGGCTGCGCGTCGGGGAGTATCGATCTCTCTCCCGCAGCGTTCGAACAGCTCGCTCCCCTCAGCGCCGGTCGCATTCAGGTGTCCTGGGATTACGAGTAGATAGTCTCCGCGTGGTTCATCACACATGTATTTGTGATCAAATTCACTGCATGGAAAACCACCCCACAACCGAATATCAGGTCGCTCGTCTAAACTTTGAACAAATAATACTTGGACTTCCTGCCGATGTGGAACTGCATCCCTCGCAACACCGGGTCGGCTGTCACAATAGGAATTGTGTGTCAAAGTCGGGTGGATAGTACTACTGTGAGTCGTCTTCGCTAGTCTCCGACGCAACGGTAAGTATGACACACAGGTACCGTGCTCGAGCATAACGACAACCTCAGCTGCGGGACTTCCCATCGCAGGCAGCAACATCTTGTGGAGTACTTAACCTGAGGTTCGGACCTTCTCCCGACAACCCCGGAGCTCGAGGGACGCTCGAGAAGTAAAGAAACATAACGTACTTGCGTCTGTTCTCTCGTCCAGAAGCTGCTGTACCCGACGAGGCGTGCTCAGTGTCGTCATCGCCAATATCGATGGTCACAGGACACGTATAGTGTGCCAATCGGATCATGACCCGGCTGAACGAGAAGGAGTCCCTTCGTTACTGGGCGACAGGACGAGGGCCGATAACGAGATCTTCGTGGGACATGGGTACATACGCAACGGTAAAACCTGCGGGTATACATCTTGCGGGATGCTCTAGTGATAATTGTGAGGATACTGTAACAAACCGCTAACTCATTGCGCGCGCCCGCCAGCCGCCATCAAGTCTGTCTAATAACCCCTGCACTTCCTTCACTGCACCTTTGCGCTCGCGCCTGGCTGCCTCCCACTCGCCTTCCGTAGTGATCGCATCCAGACGCAGGAGGCTCTGCAAGAGCAGCTCGCCGAGTCTCACATGCTCTCGGCCGAGGTCGAGTGACCCCGACGGCGCTGCGGATGCAGGTTTCATGGGTAGAGCGGGCACCTTCGGTTCGGGACCGACATGTGCAGCTGCGTGCGCAGGCGCGAGTGCGTCCAAGAAGGCGTCCACGTCTGGCTGAAGAGTAGCCCGAACCTTGTCGAGCTCGCCCCGAATCTGCGAGATGGTGTTCTCCTCCGTGCGGGGTGCCTTGTGGGCCTGAGCAGAGGAGGCTTTCGACGAAGGGGGCTTGATGGGCTCGCCGCCGCCGACGAGGGCTATGGTGCTGCCAGGCTTGATGCCATAGGCGGAAACTGGGATATAAAACATGGGTGACGTCAGCGCAGAGTTCGTGCAGGTCACAGGGCAGAAACGAGCACGGTCAGACGGGCAGAGCGCGAAACGGGTGTGGGGGTGACGGCATGGGGCGACAGACACAGCCTATCAGCGTGGAAGCAGGTTCGGAAGAGCGTCCGACCTGCGCGCCAAGCACCGTAGCTCTATGCACGGAGATGAAGTCGAGGGGCACAGCGACTCGGGATCGATCGACGGGGCCGTCCGCGTAGCCGAAGACGCGCGGATGCTGTGGAAAGCCAACTGGACAGCGAACACGTACTCGGCGCGCTATCGTCTTTCATCACAGCTCCGGCATGGATGAGCTTGAATGAGCCACTCGGCAGCTGGGTATAGTCGGCGATCTCTCTTCGGAAGTCACCCAGCTTCGTGTTGGGTGGGGGGACAGAGAAGTGCAGCCTACGCAGCGCAGGGATGGTTACCGTTCAGAGGATGGAGTGAAAAGGCAGGCGGTGGACAGATGGTTGCGGCCGCCGCGTGGGGGAAAGAAGATGGGACGGTAGTACGTCAGAGGACTCTGTACGGGGAGAACACGGGCTGTGGACATACCTCTCCCGACCCCATTTTACAACGAGGCTCATGTGCTTGCTGTTCGCTTTGGATGATCCGAGGAGGTGCTTCGCCTGTGCGTATGCGAACCTTGCGAGGATTAGGAGGAGGGGGACGAACGCTGGAGGAGGCGGATGAGGACCGAAAATGAATTCGATGTAGGGAGGGCATACCGAGGTGGATGGGGGAGAACAGGATGGGCAACGATAGCGCAGCTGTGCGCTGGGAGGGAAACACGTTGTCGGGCAGGTTAGCCACAGGGCGGGTGGTTGGCGGTGACGGTCTCGTAGTGGCCAGCGGCGCTGTGCAGTAAGTAAAGCTATTAGCGCGGGTAAGCAGCGTGGTAAAGCCCTGCCTTATGCAGCGTTAGTAGCCTTTCAAACTCAGAAGCAGCCCAAATAACCCCGGCTTTTCCTGTCGAGTGATGTCATCCAAAGTATAATGAATCCGCGCCTCACCGCAAATTTGAATTGATCTTGCGCACCGATCTATCCTACCGCCTTAAGTATATCTCCTTTTCTCCCCCCATCCTCCTCCCTCTGCCTCAGCCTCCCCTCCCTACGCCCGACAACGGCCAAGACCTCTCCTCCGTGATGTCCAACCCTCCCCCACACGATGCAGGCTTCGCCCGCCCGCCCCCTGTCCCCCTCGCTGCACGCACCCCCTCCGGAAACCCGAACCGCTCCGTCACCGGTCTGCTCAACAATCGCAACAGGCCCGTCGGGTCCACCCCAATCCCGCCCAGTCTCCAGGCAAAGATGGCCGCCGTGAGTCCATCTCGTTCACGTCCCCTCTCATCGCACATTCATCTCCATCCCGTTCTCCGTCGCATAATCTCGTCTTCCTCCATTCCGCGCTTGCGCCCGTCCTAGTTCGCAAGTCGCGCACCAAACAGCTCCGTCTCCGTCGATTCTGCAACTTCTGCCCTCAAGAACGTGAGCCTTAACGACAAAGGCGCGTCTCCGCCACCTGGCATGTCTCTACGCGGGCCCGCCTCCTCTCCGGGCGGACGCCCCGGCGCCCCAGGGGCTGGCGGATTGGCTGCTCGCCGCCAGGGGAAGGCCATCCCGAAGTTGAGCGTGATGGATATAGGGCTGCAGAATGCCGGTCTGGGAGGCGGTCGTCCCAATCAACAGGAGGAGCAACCACAGAGACGGATACCTCCGAGCACGTTCTCTACCCCGTTCGCCAACTTCGGGAAGATAGTGTGAGCTGCCTCTGAAGTCCTAAGCTTCTATCCGGCCCTCTGACCCGAGATCGTAGGGACCCATCAGGCGCCCTCAATTTCAGCGGGAAGGCAGTGCTACACGCCCAGGGTGTCGACTTCTCGAATGGATCGTCTTTCGCTATCAACATGGATCAGCTGCAGCTGGATGAGGAACTGGGAAAGGGAAACTATGGTACGGTCAAGAAGGTTCTACACAAGCCGACGAAGGTTGCGATGGCGATGAAGGTCCGTACACATCCCCGATGGAGGAGCACCGCTGAAGTCAGAGACTCACCAATCAACAGGAGATCCGGCTGGAGCTGGACGACGCGAAACTCAACGGCATCCTCATGGAGCTGGATATTCTCCATCGCGCTGTCTCACCAGAAATAGTCGAGTTCTATGGAGCGTTCTTCATTGAATCGTGAGTCGATAGCGTTTGACATAGAAGCGACGCTTACGCTAATCGCATCACATCCCGATACAGATGTGTCTACTACTGTATGGAGTACATGGATGCCGGCTCGGTAGACAAACTGCAAGGCGACGGCATACCAGAAGAAGTCCTAGCTCGGATCACTGCGAGTATGGTTCGAGGGCTGAAATTCCTGAAGGACGAGCTGCAGATCATCCATCGAGGTAACTATCGACGTGATATAGCGTCCAATGCTCTGTGCTCATTCTCCTGAAACAGACGTGAAGCCGACGAACGTCTTGATGAACAGGAGAGGTCAAGTGAAGCTGTGTGACTTCGGCGTCTCAGGTCAACTAGAGAAGTCGTTAGCGAAGACAAATATCGGGTGCCAGAGCTACATGGCTGTACGTATATCTCCAACGCTGTATATTCCTCTTGCTGAGGTCACTGCGGTGCAGCCTGAACGGATACGGGGCGAGTCGCAGAACAATCTGGGGACGTACACAGTCTCGTCGGACGTATGGTCCCTGGGGCTCTCCATGATCGAGATGGCTCTGGGGCACTATCCGTACCCACCAGAAACATACGCGAACGTGTTTGCACAGTTGACTGCTATCGTGGACGGTGATCCACCGGAGCTCCCAGAACATTTCTCAGCTACGTCGAAGGATTTCGTGGCGCGTTGCTTGCACAAGATACCCGAAAGAAGGGCAACATATGCTGAGCTTCTGGTACGTTCTCGTCTATGAACCTTCTTTTCACGCCATGGAAGGCTACCAGTACTTTCTTGCTCACAATATTTATAGGAACACCCCTTTTTAGTTGAGGACAGTACTCGAGAAGTCGACATGCCCGCCTGGGTCGAGAGCGCCGTTGAGGCCCGACAAAATCGTACCCGCGAACAGATCCAAGCAGCTCAGGATGCCATGTCATGAGCCCGACGCACTCCACGATCCTTAACGTATTCACGGGGACTACACTGCGCCCATATGCGCGGTTGCGGTCTCCGCCGGCCCTATACACACCTTCACCTCCTCGTCTCGCAGAGGCATGACTCCCGAACCCACAATTCCTTTATTCCTCTTCCCGAATCTTCTTGCCTACGCGGGTCCCAAACGCGGCCTGCCCGCCGTCCGCTATTCACGAGGATCGTCCCGAAGCACTGTATGTGTCGTACCATATTCTTCGTCCTGCCGTTGCCTGCCGTCCATCGATCCCCAAGAGATAACCAACCGCTGTTTCCATATCAACCGGGGCAGTTAGCAGCTGATTGCAGATCATGGCGAGCATAGACGACAAATGGTCCTCGCCTCGTCAGACTGATCGACGCAGGTTGATCCGGGCCTCAGATTCACACGCTCATCTTCGCGGCGGGTAGTGGCCGGGCCGATGACTCGGGTGCTCTCGCGCACTCCACAGGCTCCGTCCGCCTTCTAGGGCGTATGGGTTCCTGGGCGAAGTCCTAGTGATCGCTAGACTTGCGGGCCTAGGGTATATGGATTGGGCTAGTTTATTCGTCGCTTGGTACACGGTCTTCGTGCCCACTCTCGAGTCATACACCGTATCCCCCACAACCTGCGGCGTTGTAGCTTCCAAGCTTATTGTATAGTGCACATTTGTATGTATAAGTACTGTACCCACTCGCCATCCGTGCAGAGCTGCGTTCGCCGGCGCCGCGGCTCCTCCGGGTTATATATAATGTACTCTACATGCGCTTCAGACCTCGTGTGTTTCTGTTGACCCAGGACGAAGTAAGACTCCGCCGGACCTTAGAAAGCCCCGGCTTCGCTCAGCTATTTATGATTGTCGCCGAAGGCAGCGGAGAGCTCAATCAATGGCCATAAGGGTACGTTAGACTCAGAGTTTGGGTACTGCCTCCAGCCACGTGATCTATAGAGTTGACACGTCCGCGACGCCGCGACGGTGTGCGCGGCATACGTCGTTCGCGGTCGGTCCTTCGTTCTGTCCGTCTTCCTCACCCTGTGGGCTCTGTTTCTTTTGTTGCGCATATCTTGCTACCATCAGTTTCTGGCGGTACTGTCAGTTATCCAGCGATACGTGCATGACAGCGCCTTTCTAGCTAGCTCGCAAACATGTGGCTTACAGATGGTCAAAGTGCGTGCCCTAGTCCGCTGTAAGGGACCCATGTCCCTGTATTTCGCATACCCCCGGATCATCTCACTGTGCTAACAATACATATCGTCGTTGCGCAGAAATCGGTGTTGCGCTGACGTCGTTCGGTGCCCTCTTCATGCTCCTTGGCGTCATCCTGTTCTTTGACGGAGCACTACTAGCTTTGGGAAACGTGCGTCTCCTTGCTTCTGCGTATGCATACTTCTGCTCATTAATCCCATCTTCCGATGTCTCTCTGCCGCCGGTGCTACTATGGCATGCTGCCCTTCGCCGTCACAACTCCTCGGTCCTGTCTCGGGATCGAACGCCAAAATGCTCCACGGTGGACGCCCTCCTGTACACGCCCCAACGCCCCTGCCTCGACGCCCCGACTCCAAACGCGATGCACAATACAGATACTCTTCCTGTCCGGGCTGACGCTCATCATTGGGCCCTCGAAGACGTTCTACTTCTTCGCGCGGAAACAGAAGCTCCGAGGAACGGTCTGCTTCATAGGCGGGATCCTGCTGGTGTTCTTCAAGTGGCCCTTCGTAGGGGTGATAGTCGAGACCTTCGGCTTCCTAAATCTCTTCGGGTGCGTCCCCCAAACCCCTCCTTCACTCCCTCTCCTCTTGCGCCTCCGCACCCTCCAAGCGTGTGCCCGTGCCCGTTGCGCACATCCATTCCTTGCGCCCCTCACGTCACCTCTTGCTCTTCAGGCTAACGTGTTGCTTCGTCCAGGGACTTCTTCCCAGTGATCTTGACGTTCCTCCGCCAACTGCCGGTCATAGGCCAGGTACTGTCATTGCCTTACATACGGGACGTGCGTATACACATCCTGCCAGCTGCCGCGTGCCGCTGAGGCTAACTTACGGGCGTTCGATTCGACAGGTTGCGGACCGCGTCGCGGGCTCAAGGACGTCGATCGTGTGATTCTAGACTATTGTTCATGTCCAGTGTTCTACAAGATGATTGGTATGGCGCCGCGAAGCGCGACTGCCGTGTTCTGCATACCGAGGGCTCTACCTCACACCACATGCTGCGGTCCAATATGGTGTGCCATGCATGCCTATACAACGCGTGACCGTCTACGGCTGATGGATCCCTGCAAGGCTATACGTGAGCACAGTCCTCGATTCGTGTCCAGATGCAGAGTACTACTCCCGTCGTCTGCCTGCGGGTACCGACACCGCAGTCTGCGCGTGCAGTCTAACTTCGTGCCCAAAACATGTGGCAGTTACCCGTCGACCGCAGCCCCCTTCACTTCCGGAGATATGCACCGCAAGTATCTGAGCGTTTGCGCAGCCTCTGAGCGATGAGCGTGTTCGCTCGTTCCCGGACGGGCAGTCGTACCACCACGTACGTGCTCACTGTAAGCCGGTGCAATAGGTCTGGGAAAGGAACGCGGGAATGACCCTGGATCTCGTTCTAGCACTTGGAGTATTTTCCGGCGCAGCAAGTAAATGCCTATATGTATAGCCCGCCGTAGCGTCTAGTCGGCAGTTAACGTTGGTAGTGTGCCTGCGTGCCGACGTGGAGCGACTATCGCCATAGCATGATTGTGACTAGGGACTGTTCGGCGTTTGTCGGGCCTCGGGATGTTGCTCAGAATGACTAGTGAGGTAAGCGTACGGAGCCGAGATGTATGATGGCTTCGACATCGGACCATGTTCGTTCTGTTGTACTATTCATGAAAACATTTTGGTGTATGCACATATAGGGCGTACTCAATTTTCAGGTCGCTGGCCCGTTGCTACCCAGGACGACCTAGCAACGGAGAGCCACCGTGACAAGGCAGTGCGGGCGAGCCCCACTTGCCGCTGCAAGTGTCCTAAGCCGTGCCGTAGGAGGCCGTGAGCGGAGTCCGAATAGAGCACGCTCCGTGTTGCGGCTCGGGCGTCTCACAAGCCAAATCGGGATGTCTATACTGCTTGATGTACCTTTCATCCGTCTTCTACCATGGATAGCCCCTATATCTGTAGTCTACTGTATGTACTACGGGTATTTGGGAGGATGGATTAGTCCACGTCACTAGTGCTTGTCACTCACACGAGCAGTAGCAGTTTGGTGACTATGAGGCTCAGTCATACCTCACGAGCTTGCATAACGAGAGCATCAGTCATTAGCGTGCACAAGTACACCGCGCGAAGCATGCACACTGAATACAGCCAGTTCTCTCTTGC